TTTTTAAACAAATATAAAATAGATATAATACTGACTTTATTAAATGTATAATTCAGTAGAGAAAAAAATTTGTATCTGTCTGTCTGGCAGTTTGGAGATGTTACTATACGCATGAAGATAAGTTTATGGATATTGCCTACAGATCCATTAACCTTAAATCAATTTCTCTCAACTACTTATAAAAACTGGGCAACAGCTGATTATCTACTATTTGTCTACAGTAAAATTCTTACTAAAATCTTAACCCTCAGAAACTGGCATATCAGGCATGTCCTTCAAAAACTTAACTGACTAGTTTAGGGCATGAGGAACATGAATATCCTCCTAAGGGTACAATGGGCTAATACAAAACTGGAAAAAAACCCAGTTTTCTACAGTTGTGCAGAATAAATTTGCTTTATCCACTGTTTACATTTGAAATTCATGACCCTGTGTTTTAAGACATGTCTCTCTTCATGAAAGAAAGAAAAGATTAAAATTTAGGAAAACCTAGATCTTCCTTTAAAACATTTGTATTTACAGGAGTGTAATTACAAAATTTACAGAAACAAAGACTGAAGTAATAAAATTACTAGCAATTACTCATTAATCTAACCAAAGCAGAGTATCAACCATGTATCACAACACCTTACCTCTCATCAAACGCATATAGTACATTTTAAATACTAATCTAAACAGTGCACTACAAAATACTCATCTGAAGAAGATACAGAGAAAATTCATATGTAGACACACCAAATGAAGGTAACTGTAAGTACATATTTTGCTATAAATCATTATACGTTTATCAAATCTGGATTTTGTCTGGATTTTACAATTCAAAGTTGGAATTCACACATTCAACTGACATGTTTGAAAAGTTACCTCACATTTTCATGTGAGGCATTTCATGTGAGGCCTATGATATTAACTACATTTAATAAATCCTGTACTGTATATTATGTGATACCTATATGCATATAAAATTAGCACACTGTATGTAATAAATACTTTAAAAGCACTGAAAAAAATCATATAAGGGCATTCATAAGCATCACTGAATCTGGCTGAAGGTTGAACAACAGAACAAGAATGTTGCACAGTGGGGAAAAATACTGCATTTGTGTAATTAATTATTAATTTTTCATTCAGTATTTACTTGCTAAACTTTCGAATCTTACTTTACATGCCTTTATACCTTTTTAATATTGTTTTCTAATGGACATCTAATTTATGTTCTTTGTATTATTATTAAAATCTTGTATTGTTTTCCTGGGGAAAGCTGCTTTTTCCCTGGTACATAAAATTTGTTTTAAACCTTACTGTCTGGCTTGGCTTCAATCCCAGAATATCCTGATTTCTAAATGAAATTTAAAGCATTGCATATGGGTATCATGACTAAGAAGCTTCAATCTTCACAGTGGATCCTGCACTGTATTAATCCCTGTTATACCATTTATTTCATTGTAGCTACATTTTTTATTTTAATATATGTGCTATGTTTGGTCTCAGTACCAAATATGAAAAAAGGATACTTAGAATGAAGCTCCGTGTTGATACAAGTTTCATTACTTCTGACCTGGTCCCAGACACTAGAAACATCATAAATGATCACATAATACAGGTGGTTTTGAAACTAAAAAACAAAAAAAGTTTCAAGTTAAATAAGTAAGTAGGGGCAGAATATACAAATACATGTTTTTCATCACTGTTAATGAGTGCAGTAGTATAGGTGCCCTTTAATAAGGCTGTTTGCTATGGTAAAGCACATTCTAACCACACACCTGTCCAAACTCCCATAGGCCTTCTGAGGTACTAAGAGGCAAAGAAAAGTCTGTAGACTTTTCAAAGATTAAACAAAGGTTTCCATAGAGGAATTGACTTTTGTTCTTCATTTTTTCCCTCTTGAGCTACTGACAATTGAGATGCTTTGATCAAACTTTCCATCACTATTTACCTTCAGAGACTAATTAGCTGGAGCACTTCAGCTCCAAAAGCTTGAGAAAATTGCAAAAAAATAACTAAATAAGGATTTTTATGTTGCATAATAGTTTTCATTCTAAGACAGAGATTGCAGATGGCTCATTAGAGATCTCTTTGTCAATTACTTCTGGAAACCACTCTCTTTCCTGCATATCAGAACTAAGTATAGTTTGTAGTTTATAGAGGCTGACTTTAGACTCTGCTTCTATTACAGATCACAAATTTCCTCCATTGATCGCTCAGTTTCGTGGCTGTTGTTCAAATAAATTAGTTTTACAAACAGTTCTTTTACAATAAATATACCATTTTTATTCTAATGCAAGCATCTTTTGAGGCAGGAACACAAGACTAGTCCTACAGCCATTCTATTTGAGGGAATCTGTTGGAATCACTAGTGCAAGTTCCCCAGTTCTTTATTGCATAGTTGTTCAGTTGAGTATCTGTAGACCAGCAGTCTGATTCCTGACTAAAACTAGAAGTAAGGCTTTACATGTCTTTTCTAACAGAAGAATATCTGTAAACTGTCTGAGATCACAGTCAGGGTCAGGAAGAAAGACAGCACACATTGAAAAAATAGAACAGCTCTCAGCACATCAAAGCACAGAGATTTGTCTCAGAAGGCTGTTGGCAATTTGTAAAATGTCAGGTTATTTCAGGTGCCTCACTGAAATGTGCAGCTAGGTTGACAAGTGAATGCAGGCAAGACATGGGGAAAAATCCTTGAGTTAACAGTCTGTGCCAAAAAAAAAAAAGGTTATTTAGTATCTCAATTAATGCAACACACAAAATCAGGGTGCCTTATGCCAAGGAGCAGAGGAAAGGAAACCAGGAAAATACATAGCAACACAAGTTACTTCAATCAGTAAAGGCATTCCTAAATATTTTTTTTTATTTTCTTTCCTTTCTCTTTTTTGTTTTTGCTGTATAAAAAGATGTTGATTTTTAACGCCCTGCTCTAAACACTGCTGCTGAGTATATTGATTATGTTAGGTTAGATTTATCACAGACCCCATGGCAAACGTGACAAACCTAGGAGGAGCACGACATGTTTTGGTTAATGGCTAGATTATGATGACAAAAGCAGTCAAATGATCCGGAGAACACCGTTTGAATGCGGCAGGTGGAGAACTGCAGCTATAAGGAGTTGTATCACAGACTTCTAACAGTTAAGACACAACATTTCTGTCTTGAGCAGGAAGTAGAAAGTTAAGTCTTGATTCCAAACAAACAGCACAGAAAGATTGTCATCGTTTAATCCCGTCTCGCAACCAGCACTACACAGCCATTTCCTCACTTCTCCACTAGCAGGATCTGTGACAGAATCAGAAGGGTGAAAGTTAGAAAACATGGCTTGAGATACAGACAGTTTAATAGAAAAAGCAAAAGCTGTGCATGCAAGCATAGCAAAATAAGGAATTTATTCGCTGCTTCCCATGGACAGGCAGGTGTTCAGCCAGGACAACTGGACTCCATCACAAGTCATGGTTACTCAGGAAGACAAACAGTATAATTCCAAATGCCCCCTCTTCTTCCTTGTTCCTCCCAGTTTATATACTGGGCATGATGTCACATGGTCTGGAATATCCCTTTGGTCATTTTGGGTCACTGTCCAGCTGTGTCTCATCCCATGCTCCCAAGCAGCCCTAGTCCGCTCACCAGAAGAAAAATTTCTTACGGGAAATTTCTTTGTGGATGAGCTTTGCTTTACATCTTCATTCAAAGTATGCCACTAGATTTGTCTCTAAATAAATGCAATGCTAATCATAAACAGATCCTTATACGAAGATCCCATGTCATAGCCAAGAAAATAAAGTCGTCTCACGGCCCAAACTTTCCCTTGCTTGTCCATCTGCACTTCACTAGGCCCCTGTGTTTTGTCGCTTTCTTATCTGTTAAGCCTTTCTCTGAGTAGCCAGAACCTTAAACCATAACAACTCCAGCAGTGGCCTGCTCTCATCTGAGCAAGCCCTCAGGTAAGAATTTTGAAGCTGAGCAAGCTTTCAACTTACCCCTTTCCTCTTAAACACGGGAGCTTCAACAGTGTGTCTACGCATGCATAAACTCACTGTTTCAGTACCTGCTCATGCCAAGAGCTCACTTATGTTAAGTGTAATTTTCAAGAAGGAATCACATTAAAGAGGACATTGACGTGCTGGAGTGTGTCCAGTGAAGGCCAACAAGGCTGGTGAAAGGACTAGAAAATGTGTCATAGGAGGAACAGCTGAGGGAGCTGGGTTTGTTTAGTCTTAAGAAGAGTAGCATCAGGGGGTACCTTATTGCTGAAAGGAAGGTGCCAGGGGGAAGCTGGTCTCTCCTGTGGTGCCTGCAGGACTAGAGGAAATGGCCTTAAATTGAACCAGGGAACATTCAGATTACATATTAATTATTTTTTCTCTATTACTAGGGTGGTTAAGCATTGGAATAGATTGCCTAAGGATGTAATTGAGTCACTTTGAGATGTCCTTGAGGTGTTTGGATATGGTGCTGGGTGATAGTTTACTAGTTTAGGGATTAGTTGGTAGTGCTGGATGGACGGTTGATGGACTGCAGGTATCTTAAAAGTCTCTTCCAACATTGATGTTTCCATGATTCTATGATTTCGCTTCTGACATTCTTCAGGGAGCAAGCATTTCAATATGTTTGTGACTCCAGATTAATCCTAGCATGCCTATAATCCACGTTGCCCAAATCCTAGTATTTAGCCAAATATAATAGTTTGGGCACGCTTCTGAACAGTAGCTCAGTAATAGCCCGCCAGTAATTGTAGAAAGCAAACCAGCTGCACTGTGGTGTCCCTCTCGGGCCCGGCCGGACCGGCTGCCAGCGGTGCGCTCCGACTCTCGCCGCCGCCTCCCACCCGTCCCTCACGGCGCCGCCCCGCGCATGCGTCCCGCCGGGCCGCTAGGGGGCGTGCGCGCCGGGAGGAGGCCGCGAAGGGGCGCAGGAACTGACGGAGCGGGCGCTTCCTGCCGCATCCCGGCCCTTCCTGCCGCATCCCGGCCCTTCCTGCCGCGTGCCGGCCCTTCCTGCGGCGTCTCTGCATCCGAGGGACGGGACGGTGCTCCCCTGCGAGAACTGCTCTTCGCTGCTCGCCCCGCGCAGTGATACCCGCAGGCCCGCCCCACCTGCCTCCGCTCAGGCCCTACGTGAGTGTCCTGTGGGGGTCCCGCTGGGACGCGGCAGGGAGCGGCGTCGGGGTGCCGGGCTCTGGCCCCAGGGGTGGCGGCGGGCCCGGACACCTCTCCCGGCATGGGGGCTGGGAGCTGGCGGGTTTCCGTGCGCACGGACTTACCTGCGCGGTTCACTCATGGGGCTCTGTGGGAAATACCTGCTTGTTTGGAAACGCTGCCCAAAGGGACAAAGGTACCTGGAATGCAAGTTGTGAAGCTTGTTAAGGAGAGCCTGGCAAGTCCTGGCGAGGTAACCCGTGCTGGCGGCCAGGGTAAAGGTCGTTGTCGCTGTTGTGAGAAAGCGGTGTTGCTGCATTGTTTTGAGTTGGGGAAGGTAACTCCTCTATTGCTTGTCTTCTTGGTGTTTACGGCTTCAAAGGCTAAACTGAACATGTGTTTCTTCTGCGCCTAACTCTCGAATTCTCGTTCATCCATCTGATACTAGCTAATTGTATCCCTAAACTGCTTATTTCTATGGTGTGCTGTGGAGAGTGCCTGGTCTGCTCAGAGGGGAATGGGGCATGTTAACAATTGTTCTGTCTGCTAGAAATGGAAAGGTTTGGACAGCAGATACTCATCCAGACTAAATGTCAAGTGACTTACTTGTTATGCAACATGATGTCATTTCTTCAGCAGAACTGAAAGTGAACATCCAAGTAGTAACTTCCATAATGCATACTGCTTCCCTTCACCCACCCCATCAGATGGGAAAAAAAAAAAGGAACAACTCTAATAGCTTTCTCTTAGAGCTAGTGCAGCAAGAGCTAGTGCAGGTTTTTACTATTCACTAGTGTGGATTGTTATCACAGGAAATAAGGAGCAAAGCCAAACCTAACCATATAAACTCCTCATTCTTAATTTTCTTATGCTTTGTCCTAATGCTGTCCACAGTGGCAGTCAGAATTATCTGGGAAGTTGTACCAGAATCAGTTTTGAGTTGAAAAGATAGTAAACCTATCTTTTTCTGTGACGGTCTCTTCAGTAAAATAGTACTACATATGTATGATAAAGCATGATTAGATTAGTTGCAATTGAGGTTATCATTTGTCTGCTTTTTTGCGTTGTGTTGTGAAAAAGTACTAAAGTTCATGACATAACTTGTAGTTCATGATTAGCTGAATCTTCATGCTCTTATGATGTACTCAAGGATTTCTTTCCATATATTGTGAACCTGTTTGAAATATGAAACAAATTCCACAGTTGCATGGTACTTTTCCCTGAGATGAATACTGTTACATCTTGTGACGTGTAATTTTTTTTTTTTTAATTAAAATTGAGGGGGTCATGTAAAAATTCACTTTTAAACATAAATAAAGTAAGCAATAACTTGAGAGTGTGCAGCATTTTTGTTTAGTGTCTTATAATGACAGTAAATCCTGTGATCACCATTCTCTTCAGCAATTCCTGGAAGTATATTCTAGCTTACTTGAATTTTTAAACCAAAGAGCTTAAAAGGTAACTGATATTTCTTTTTGCTTAATTTCAATTTATTTTCTTCTTTTTTTTTTTTTTAGATAAAAGGATACATGTTCACTTCAAGTAGAAAGGAGCATGTTCCCAAATTCTTCCAACTTGGGTCGTCCACCCTTTCCTCCAAAATATCAACAACAGAGTACTTTCTTCACTAAACTTCCTCTAAATATGCCTCCTACTTTTGTGTCTCACCAGCAAATTGTCATTCCTCCGTTTCATCTTCACAGTGCAGTGTAAGTACAGTAAGGTTTGGTAGAAGGGGTTGGGTCTAAAAGAAATATTTCTCTTTGTGGAGGATAGTTTTCACTGTTTGTAACATTGAACTGCCCTGAACTTCACAAAATGTTAAGATGTCATGCATATAAAAAAGAGCTGTATAATTTCTCTTATGGACCTGCAAATCTATATGCTTGCCTGTGATGCATAATGCATGAGATGTAATGGCACTGATTAGAGTTGTTAATCCACAGCTCAGTTTTGAAGATCTTCAATTGTATTTGTTTATTAAGGAGAGCAGGGAGGAGATGAGAAGAGGAGGAAATGTTTATTCTTGGGTTTGTATTTGAAGACACTGTAGTATTGTTTAGGCTTTTGAATTTAAAAGTTCCTTATGTGAATTTGTTTGCCTACTCCATCTTACACATATGCTGTCAAGAATGAACATTTCCTGTTTTTAATGAAGTACATATTATAAACTCAAATATATCTTCATGTTGAATAGAAAAGAAAGATGTATTCCTTCTAAAAAATACCCAAGTGACAGGACTTGTAGAATTTAGTATTCAGTTAACAACTACCAATCCATAAAAAGTATCTTGGTTATCTTATGAATGACTGTTTTGGACTGTAGTCTTTCTAGAGCTCTTTTGAGTGGGAATGTTGAAACTACTCCAGCTGCTACTCCAGCTGTTACACTGCAACCAGTGACTTATGGAAGTGTTAGTCCAGTGTCTACACCAGATGCCCTGACGTCATTTCAAGGAAGAAAGTAAGTTCTTTTACGTATGTGACCAATATTGGTTGTAATGTACCCATTGTGAAGCTCTTCTGGTATCAATTTCTTAGGCAGTTTGAGTTATGTTAGAAATTGCAATACTGAATACTTTTTTCTTTTTGATGGAAACAGGCCATGTATTGGCGCTTTAAAGCATTGTACCTGTTTGAGAATCTTAGTACTCAGAAGTGGCTTCCTGTACCTAGTTTTCTCTTCCACCATCTGTAGCCTTGCAGGAGTGATTTAAGTGATTTATTGTAATACTGCAGTGAATTGTGGTCTGTATGGGTTTGACTTTAAGCTGCTTTGTGTCTATGAATGTTCTTTTATTGTTAATTTGTCAAGTTAAAAATAAGAGTGCACCCTCAATGTTTTATGGGAATTGTCATGTTTTCTTGATAACGCATTACATGTTTTTCCTAATTTTCTTAACTATGTGATATATTATTTTTCAAACACAAGGCACAAGGTGTTAAATTCAAGCATGTGTTAAGTTCTTTTTTTTAAAGAGGATTTTATGGAAAACTAGTTTTTGTAGGTTTTTTTTTTATTAACTTGAATTTACATTACTACCTTTGTTATTTTAGTTACCACAGAAAGGGAAATTTTACATAAATGTAGAGTTTAATTATCTTTTAATGCTTTAGAAAAAGCCAGTTCTCTTTATTAGTTCAGGTACACTAGTCGATACATGTTTCTAGTAATTGTCGGAATCAGCTGATTGGAAGGAGGTTCTCTGTAGTGTGTCTTCAGTACTATCTCCTGAATGCTATTTCGCTACCAAATCTAACATGAAAAAATAAGCACAGTCAAATACAAGCTATTAAGTTATAGCTGACTATGTAATTATCCCATGGACTAAGGAAGCTCCTGGTTTTATGCTGCATGCATTTTTTCCTCTTGAGCAGTCTGTTCTATGACAAGCTATGCTATGTTGGGAGATTTGTAGTCAGCTTAAACAAACTTGTCATTTGGGTTTCAGTTGGTTAAGTGCAGACGCTTGCCTTAAAGAATTGCATCAATCCAGTTCTCGGGTTGCTTTATTTCTCCTTTTTTATGTTCTCTTTTCCCATTCCAGGGTTGTTTCACATAGTACCTAGGATGGGCACACCTGTTCTGTAGCATACTTGGGCTTAGTGAAGTAGTTATGTCATTAAGTGTTAGTATTTGAACTTTGTAGAAACTGTCTTTTAATCATAAGTTGGAGCTTGGGAACTAGAGGAATTACACAGTGTCTCTCTCTAGGAGACAAAGTCAACAGAGTGTTCCAGATGACGCCAAACGGCAGCGGATTCATTCACACGATTCTGATACAGCTGTAGTTAACCAAGCAGTGCCTTTGCCAAAAGAACGTAGACGCTCCTTCCCAGCATCAGTTTCAGTTCAGTCTCCAGTGGTGCATGCGAGTGGCTCACCAGGTTTAATTGGATGGGTCCCTCCTTTGCAAGATACTTTGTTTCCAGATCCTACAGAAATCAGGCTCCCTGTTGCCAAGGACGAGGTAATGGCTTTCTGTGCCTGTGCTTGCTTCTGTCTTTTGAGTATGAGGTGATTTTGAGAATCTAGAGGTAGTGTAGGAGACCACAAACATTTCTACCAGTGTTTTTGACAGTATCATGGGATATGTATTGGTAAACTGCCATTAGAAGGAGTATCAATAAGTGTGGCTGCCACTGTTGTTCTGTATCACCTCCTTGTCTGTGCTTGGGTTGAAGCATTTATGTGGTGGCAGGGAAGTCAGGGTACTGTTTCTTTGTAAAACCCCACTGTAGTAATATGAGAGAAGCCCATTCTGAATAGATGCAGTATTTGACCCGTGAAGATGTTTGCTCCCTCTTTTCAAGAAAGTATAAAAGTTACTGTCATAGCTGTTCTGGAATATAGAAGAGAATGGAATGGAGTTTAGAACTGCTTTTGTTCTGCACACACATGACAGAAGGGTTTTGGGTTTTTTAGTGTAAATATGCCTGTTGATTATAGAATGTAACAATGTGGGAAAGGAAAACAGTCAGTACCTCCTTCCAACAAAGATCTGACTTCTTAATAAGTTTATATGGGATAAAAAAGAAAGCTAATTGAAATCAGGTTTTTTAATGATATTTTTCTCCCTATTACTGGTAGGCAAACTGTTGACATTGAAGTCAGCAGCAAATGTCTTAGGTCCTTCATTACTTATTCCCTGAAATACTGCATATACTGATGATGCAAAAATTATTTTCTCTGGTTTGCTATTTTATAACAAATGGAACAAATTTCAATTTAAAAACTTAGCAGAAATGTTTTAAAGGAACTATTAATTGTGAATTCAAGTGCAGTAAAACTCTAGACAGTGAAGCTGGTCATGTGAAATGGTGCTGAGTTTTGCATTAAAAAAACCCAACCTTCTGTGTTTCATGTAATTGCGTCTGTGACAAGAAAGAATGTTCACTTAGCTGTGTCTTTACTTTTTGTATGTGTGTGTTCAGTTAAGTAAACAGATTTTGGAGTTGTTTCAAGCATGTCGACAACAGGCCATTGATTTGGACAGAAAAGAGCTTTGCAGAACAGAACTCCAGAGAGAAATTCAGCTCATTTTTCCACGTATGTTGTATGTTTTGAATCTAATTACTTTATATCAGTTTGCATGTTCTTCAAGTTTGTGATTCTTTGTTCCTCTCAAACTGTGGTGTAATATGTCACATCATGTTTATTTTTTGTTACTCTGCTATTACAGAGAGCAGACTTTTTTTGGTTGGGTCCTCACTAAATGGATTTGGCACTCGTACTAGTGATGGTGATTTGTGCCTGGTGATTAAAGAAGAGCCAGTAAGTAATTTAAAACATACGTAGTTAAAACAATGTCTGGTTTTATGTATGTGCTGTTAAAAGGCTGGATCCCAAAATGACAAAATGGTAAAATCTTTTTGATTTAATAACATAATTTTGCACTCATAATAGCCACAAACTTTGAGCCCATTAATGCGCAGATAAGAATTAAACCCTATCAACCTAACAAAACCTATTTTTAAAGCTTTACCTTCAATTCATAAGTGCAAAAATACAGCAAAAGGGAAGCAGAATGCCTAGAATGATGAAGAAAACTGTTTAGAGAACTCTTTTAGGTGCAGAAACAATTTCTAATAAGTGAAGTTTCTTTTTATTTAGATTCATAGCTACCAATTTTAGTGATCAGGCATAAAAATGTATTTAGTTTCTTAAACATTTTTAGTGAGAAAAAATGTTATGAGTAGAAATTAGGTAAACAGAAAGGATATCTGAAAGAAATTTAAGTAGACCATAATCTTGAAAGAATTTAAGCATAATTTAAAGGGAAAAAGAGGGCATTTTTGTGTAAATGGGCTAGGTTTTCATCTAGGTCTGTGATTTTTGAATGTCTGTTAATCACTTTGCATATTATGGATTGTTCTGTCTGGCATTTACTGTTATAAATGTGTCTGTAGGCTGTAGAATGTGTTAGTGTACTTGTTCATGTATTATTCTGAGAACAAATTTCATTTTAAAACCAAAGCATGCTTACTTTGAATATTTAAATAAGAGATACCGAAATTTTTCATTAATTTTAATACCACATTTCAGGTGAATCAGAAGACTGAAGCAAGACGTATACTCAGCTTTGTCCAAAAACTCTTCAGTACTAAACTTTGTAAGTTACCATCTAAAGTGAGGTAGTAAGATTATTGGCAGTTCTGGAAGAAGTGTTGGTGCTCAGTTGTAACTAATGTATGTAATTGCATCTTGTCTAGGTTCTAATCTGGGTTCTTTCTGGGAAACCTCTGTTAGTGAACTCTTGCTAATATCTTAGATTGCAGTGTCTTCCTGGGAAAAATACTCCTAAGAATTTGTTAAATAAGATGTCACTCACAGTAGACTGTGTAGAATTGATTTTTTTCTTTTGAGAAGTAATTAACTTATGTGCCTAATGAAGAAAGTAATAAATGTTGACAGTACCAGCACATACAGATAAAACATACCAATTCATAGTTTCTTTAGCTCGTTGTTTAGACTCTCTTCAGATTAAGAATTCACATGGGTAGATCTTGACTTAAATGTGAAAGCCTTTTACTCCAAAGAGGCTTTTGTATCTTCCTTTGAGTCATAAAATACTCTCACGTTTACTGGTATCAATGACTTTATCATCTTGCTTCCCAGAATTGTGGTATATTCTTTGATGCTAGTCCTTATAGTGATGTTTTGAACAGTCCTCCAGTGTTAAAAGGAACAAACCATAAGTTTAAATGCAGACTTGAAAATTTCTTCATTGGGAAGCATGCATGCATGCACAGATTTTAACAGCTCCCACGGAAAAATGACTTGATACATCTGTTGCTGAACAGGTATCTGATATTTAATGCTTATTACTGCTGATTATTGACATTTGCATAAGTCTGAAAATTAATCTGGGTTTGTCTGTGGTGCAGCTCTCTCTGTCTATGGTGCAGTGCTTTCTGATAGTACAGTGATAACATAGGTGTGGTTTCAGGGTTCAGGAAGCTTCTAAATGAGCAGTCTTTTTCAAGAGCTCTTGTTCTGAGACAAAGGCTTAGACAAAATCAGGTTTGTTTACCTGTATTGGAAGGTATGATAGCCATGTGCAAGTGATCCCCAAGTGATTTGTGCCTTTGCCCATTTTTGATTTTGTAATTCTCTGATACCTTGCAAGTGCATTTGGTCAGCTTGATTTAATCAAAATATTCTATGGAAGGTAAGACAGTACAAAGCACTGCTGAGATTACCACTCCTGTCAGGCTCCCTTAGTTGTGGTATGTAGTTCTCTTACATCATCTCTTCAGAATCTTAACATCACTATGGCATTAATTCCTATTTGTAGCAGTCTGTCGTGTGTCTGTGTGTGGATGTTATGTGAATAGAACTAACAGACAAAGGTTGGTTAAAAATGTTCAAAACCAAAAGGCTTTGGCACATGGGTCTTTACACCTAGATTTAGCTAATTTACAAGCTATAGCTGAGTTATGCCAAGGTTAAGTTGTTCTCAAACAGGAGATGTCCTGGTTTCAGGTGAGATAGTTAATTTCTTCTTAGTATCTGATGCAGTGCTGTGGTTTGGATTTAATATGAGAATAATGTTGGTAACACAGTGAAGTTTTACTTGTTCTCAGTACTGCTTACTATAAATCAAGGAGAGCCTGTCTACCTAAAATGTATGAAGCTGCTTCTGGTAATTATTTTCAAATTTTTGCTGCCCTGTTAGCATGTATGATACTACCCTATAATTTTAAGCTAATACCTCTCTGGCAATATTGGTTAAGTATTTCTTTATTTCTTTTGTAGAAGAGAGACTGCAGCATGTTCTTAAACAATTGTGTGAGCACTCATAAAACTTACTGTTGCTTCACAGGAGAGAATGGAAATAAACATGGTGTGGGCCAAACATTAAAGCTAGAAAAGCGTGTGCCAAGATATAAGAGAAACAACAACAGGGAGAAAATATAAAATGCTATATAAGATGCTATATAATGCTAGAATAAGTTCTTGCTCTGTTTTTTTGGAAGAGTTGAAGGACAAAAAGAAATAAGGAGGCTGGCATAGGTAAAGTTTTAGATTTTTTTTAACCTTTTTCCAGATCACTTTGGTTCAGCAACTTGGGAGAAGTTTTTTCTATCTGTGCCTCTTACAACATCTCCTTTTCTGTTCTTGCTGTCTGCAGTGTTCCTGTGCATTCCAATGTAAGGACAGTAAAAGTGTGATTCTGTGCTTATTTCACCTTAATTCTATGATGGATAAATGAAGAAGCATTCCAAGTGCAAATTAGATCAGTCCCTTTCACAATTTGTTTTGTTTTCAGAACTTGAAGTGCCATGTCTTTTATCCTTCATATGGAGTTGAATGTGATTATTAGATTAGGAGGTTTAGGAAGTGGATTCAAAATTTGTATAAACTCTAGCCTGTTTCAGGTTTGTAAAAGGTAACAAGTCTGAGCAAGGAGTTTTAGTCCATCAGATTCTAAGTCTTATAGCAGAAGCTTTTCTGTGTTGTCATTCTGCATCTTGAATAACACCTGAAATAAAATGTCTTCTGGTTTTGAATAGTCTAATAACAGAGAAAAGTGGGAAAAAGCTTCTGATATTTTATTCATTGTTTTTGTGTATATCTAAACCACTGAGAGTTAATGTCAGACTGATTCCCCACTTCAGATTCATCTATGTGGGATTCATTTGAAGAACACCATAATAGTATTAGGTTTACAAGTATTTACTATCTGCATAAATAGCCAAGAGCTCATTTTCCCTTAGATTTACAAAGAGGTACAGTAGCATTGAGACTAGGGTGTCAGAGTGGAATCTGCCTAATGGTGGTCTAGTGGGAATGTGTAACTGCTGGGGCAAGCAAAGGAGTTTGAACTCAGTTGAATGCCTTTGAAGAACTGTGCAGATCATGGAGTGAATTCCAAAAAATCAGCAGTTACTTCATCCTGTGGTGGGTTGTACCTTCCTAGATTCTTCATTAATGTGGATTCAGACTTCTGTGTTTCTCCTTCTGTGGTATAACCAAATCAATAAGACCAGGCTTTGTGCCCAGGATGTCAAAGATCTTTTTGGCATATACCAAGTTTGGGATTAATATTCTGTTCAATTGCTTGATCTTTCATTATGTAAAAGAAGAGAGGGAATTAAGCTCTTCAGTCTGAAATTCTGCATGAATAAGTTATATATGAAGCAATGCTTAGTCTTCTTTGAAGCCACTTAGATTCTTTTTTGCTGAGCTGAAGTGGTGTTCATGACCTTTCCATAGACATGCGTAAAACTGTGGAGCAGCTGTACAGATTTCTTTTCATGTATTTTAGTGTAGCATCTCTGGTCATAGCTTTCGTGATCACATAGTCAGTTTACTAAGGCTCTTACTCCACCCTCAAGAATTCCACACCCTGTATTTGTGACTGTTTCTTCCCCTGTATATATGTGTAAGGTACAATATAGATTCTGCTAACAGCATCATTGGTCTGAGCCAAGAAAGAGGATACTGGCAGGAAGTTACTGCTTCTAGCTTTTTCTTACCTCTTCTGTCTTCTTCCTCGGTTTCTACCGCCCTGTGAAACAGATTGGGATTATGTTTTGGGATGTATCTTTTTTCCTTAGCCAGCTAATTTGACACAAGCATCCATCAGGTGTAGGGAGGCATTTGCAGACAAGGATGTGTTTGGAAGTGTGTTGTCCCTAGAATGAGTTCAGTTAACCTCTGAAGAGCTTTAGGAAGGGTCAAAGTGAGGAAAGTTGAATTGGTGTGGCATACAGGTAGATGTCTACCATTGCCTACCATGTGTTAGTGCATTGGGAATCTTTGTCATAAATTTGTTAGTGAATAGAGAGGAGACAGAGAGCTCTGCATGCTTTAGACTCTTGCTTTAAAAATATTCTGCGATGCTGGAGGACAGATGCCTGGATGTGTCGGAAGGTGCAGCTAGAAAGAGAGGATGCTTGTGTTAATTTAGCAGACAGTGAGGATGAATTGAATTTGTTCATTTAAGATTCTCTCTTTAACATCAGTAAATTAGTAAGATTGTCTTTTATTCTGTATGCCACTCTGTGTGTTGCTTAGTTTTTGTGTGATGCATTAAAATCCAGATAAAAGATTGCCTCAGGTCAAATCTGTCTGAACATGCATATCCACAAAACAGTTTCAGAAAGTCTCAAAAAAAGATTTGTTTTAATTGAGTATTGCACAGATTTTGTTCCACCAAATCTGAATTTATCATCCAAAAGCAATGGAGATTATGCTGGCTGTTCAGCTGATAGAAGTACCTTGTTGTTTTTTCTGGAGGGAAAGAAAAAATCATTTTATTCAAGGTTATTTTTAGTCTGTATTACTTGTACTGTGCATGCTTATTTATGCTAATCTGAGGGTAATTTATAAAAACAATGGGAAAATATATGATGTTGGATATGGACAAATTCAAGTGGTCCTAGATTTGGCAACAAGTAATTACTAAAATCACAGCTTTTGACCAAATTCATACCATACAACCTACAGGCTCTACCTTTCTTTCTTCTTTGTTGCTTTCTTGGTCACAATATTCATTCAGGATTATAGGAAACTACTGAATATAGGCTGAGGTATCACGAAATCTAGGGAATTCATGACATTATGGCTGATGCAATAGCTTTGGGGAGCTGCATGTGAAGGGTGCATTTGGTAGCATACTGTGTAGGTAATCATCTGATAATCATCATCAGTGTGGATTTATTGCATGTCCTATCACTATTAAAACATAAGGCAGATAAAGCTTACCCCATTTTTGATATAAAGCATTATCATGTTTTCAGTAGCATTTCTTGGTATGTTGTTTATAATACAAATGAACAGTTTTCAGAACAAGTTTTGAGCCTATCATTAGCCCATCCTGGTTGGATATGTGCCTTCTCCTTTATTTTTGTATCGTAATTATAACAATTCAGGATTTGTATTACAAGTACTGTTCCATGAAAGCATTGTAGTACTGCATTCCTTATGTTAAAATTTCTGGAATATATTTCCCTCAGTCTTTATGTTCTATTTACTTCTTCTCTAATGTTTAGTGTGGGGGGTGTTCCACCTGCTTTCATAGGTTGTTTTTTTGCTACAGTTGCTAAAGGTTACTTAGTTTTGTACAACCCTGCTAAATTTAATAAGCTGCTATTTGCTATAGATCAGTCGATTAGATTCTATTGCAGGATCTTCTGTTAAGATCTGCATCTTGCATGAAACTTAATTGCATATTTTCCTCCCTTTCAGCAAGCTACATTGAGCGACCTCAGCTGATCAGAGCAAAAGTGCCAATAGTGAAATTCAGGGATAAAGTCAGGCAAGTATTCTGTTCAGCCTAATCTTTTAGACTTTGACATGGGAAAGCATTCTGTATGTGCACTGCCCTTACAAGGAGTCCCACCATTTTATGTGTTTATTTGTGTGGTGCTGTAAGTTGTTATGACCAGTTTGTAGAGCTAGCATGCAGTGACAGTCAGCTTATTGCCTTGATGGTCTGAATCACCTCCTATGGTTGAGATACTGTTTAGTTCCTGTGATGTGAATTAGAAGCAGTGTATCACATATTTCTGGTGGGTTATTTGTACATAGTGGACTCCAAGTTAACAAATAGTTTGACAGAAAAACAGTGGTAGGAAGAAAACTGTTGTGAAATATAATTTTGCTTGCTGTGCAGACATAACTGTTGAGCTATACAAAGAACACTGAAACAAACTAGTTTGTGGTGATATTTTCTTGTATTCATTGTATATTCATTATGAAGACATGAGAATAATTTAGTGCATTGCACTAGGACAGATAATGATGTCTTTCTTATTGTGTGTGATTAAAGTGACAGGAAAAAGTCATGCAAACACTGAAATATGTTGACAATCTGAGTAATGTTAATTTGCTTAGTTTTGTAACACTGATATTTATCGGTTTCGTATAGTGGCATAGTTTCATCCTTCTTTGCAAATTGGACTTTGAACAATGTAGCTCTCTTAACCTGTCTATACAGTTTTCAGATTTTGTAATCCTGTCTCTGTCTTTTAAGAACAAATAAGCATGCTTCTCTCGCCTCTCCCTATGAAATCATATCACAACATGTTTTTATCACGGTATAACTTTATCATGGCTAGGTTCCTGCCCTGATAAAACTAAATCTTTCATGTTTACAGTTTGAACTAAACTATATCACCAGTTTAAGCTTTTGTTTCTTCTGAGATTATACACACTTGTTGGAGTTTTCACTTTACACTTTTTTCTTCATTTACACCCAGTCCCATATTTACTTGAGTGTAATTGCCTACCTTCTTTTAAAAATTGGAATGTTTTTTACTTTCTCTTCTAACAGTACAGAAGGTTGTTTCTTTCATGCTTCCTGGAAGTATGGTACTTGTCAAGCTAAAATTTGGGTTATTTGGATTAGCTACATATAGCAATGGTAGTTTTCATACATAAATGAAATTACACATTCCTGGTCCAAATATTGAATGAGTTATGGGATTATAGCAAGAATGTTTTTTTCCCCAATTTAAATTGAGAAAATAAAGTTTTTTAAAAAGAGACCTTTAGTATGGAACAGATAGAAGTGATTGTGTGAGGAGACTGAAGTCTTTTTGTAAGCACTGATTTCAAAAAATAAGTCATGATAATTGCATCCCTTACAGATAAGATTTATAGAACTCTTTATTTTCCACTAAATCAAAGTGTGATCTTCTCAGACAAGAAGCAGCACATTATATTTTTGCAGAGTAAACAGCAATATTGTTCACCATCTGATTTTCCATCTTCCACATTGCTTTTGGAAGCAATGTGAAAGATGGAGTGACAGTGAATGTCATCATTTTGGGTTGGGATTTTTTTTTTGTTGTAGTTCATTTTTGTTTCGTTTTCTGTCTTTACAGTTATCTTACTCTTGCATAACCTGTCACCACCATGTTTTGTCTTTTCATTTAAGCATTTGTCTCTTTCTAGTCTTTTAGCAGTCTCTTGTCTTTTGTAGACTAAGATGTACAAAAAAATGCTTATGCATGCATTTTTTCACAGAGGTCTTGAAAAATTTATTGGATATCCTGTACATAGGGCACTAGGCCTGTCTTTGCCAAAATTGAAACTAAACATTACAAGCTTCCTGTGAGAGCTGATTTTTTGTTAGGAGTTTTTTTCAGATGCTGGGGGAAGGTGGTTGAATTTGATGGGTGTTATCTCTGTATCTGGAGATGAACATTCTAATGTGTTACCAACAACTGAAATATGTATGTATTTCATATATAACTGAAAATGGCTGTTTCCCCTTACTTTGATTCAGTGAATGAGGAAGCATTCAGTTTGTATTTGTTCTCTTTTATAACCTTTAAACTTGAGGGTTTATAGTGCTGTAAAAATAAGAGAAGATCAACTGCACTTAAAGACCTGCCATATTTTTTTTGGTAGTCTTTCCCAGGAAATTATTCTAATGCTGGTTCTGCTTCCCGACAAGCCTTTGATCTTTCCTTCTGACCTCTTCCAGTTCTCTTTCTCAGTTCATCCTAAACTAATACCCCAGGGAATCCTTCCTGGTATCAAAAGTTTTCTGTAATAAATAATGTATTGCAAGTGTAGGTGGAGAAAGATTTGGTAAAAAATTAAAAAAGATATCCTAAGTTGTCCCAAAGTCGAAATTTATATCTACATGTATTCTTCATTTAAAACAACAATAACATCTTTATAACAAAGGAGTTCAAGTCTTTAAGTGGCTTAGGTGCTACAAACAAAACTAAATCACGGCATTTAAAACTCTGAAGAAAGTTTCTATGGGTTTATATTAAAATTACTTTTCTCTATATCTGTCATAAAGTAGGTAGTAAACAATCAGAAATTAAATACCATGATGCTTCATTTTTTTTTCTCCCTAATAGCAATGTGGATTTCGACTTGAATGTAAACAATGTGATAGGTATAAGAAATACATTCCTTCTGAGAAGCTATGCATTCAGTAAGTTTTTATTGTATTTTCTTATTTCTTTAAACTTTGCTTTTAAAGTTTGTATTTTGATATTGATATTTTATGAAAATTTAATGATTACTATATATATAATTATCTATTTAGCTACATTAAGTGGCTTTAAGATAAGTCCTTCTTGCTCATTGTAAATACATGGAGAAAACAGCTGTATGTTTTTAACTAAATATTAGGATAGGATATTCAGAAGATAAAAAAGATTTTTCATATGCTGGTCCATATATCTACTACAAGGCCTACTTCAGGTATCCTGCAGATAATAAGATCATGATAATAATGGTTATCTAGTGGTATAATCTCCAGCTTCTTTTATTTCCTTACAGCCAATGGCAGTATGGATGGCTGATAGCAGCTATGTCTATTTGCTGTTGCAGAGTCTTTGCTTGGAAAATCCAAAATACTGCTTCAGTATTTATACTAATCCCGAATCAAAATTGGTTTGTGTCTGCTCAGGAGTTTGCATTTTAGGGAGAGATTGTGAAACAGCCTTGTGAAAGGAAGGTAATGACAACAGCACTCTTAGTGGTAAACTGAGAGTTTCTTTCTTAGCATTGCAATGTCATTTGTCAGATAAGTACATAAAGAAGTGTGCCTCAGCCTTTTTCTTCTAGGCCATTTGCATTTATTCCTTTATCCTCTTCTTCAGTTCTTGCATAAAGGAATTTCTTTCTATTTAGGGTAGGCAGTTACCAATAGAAGCTGCCTTCACTAGTTTTTACTGATATTTCAGTCAAACTAGTTTGTGTTCCATATTCATGTTACTAGGAGAGTCTACAACTTGTCCTGGATCAGTTGGTTAACTGTAATTCCTTCATACGTTCAAGAAAGTCTAGGGCTGGGAAAGGATTTGCTTCCAAGTACTAAAAATATTAGGAAGTAATCATTGAGCAGTCACTTCATGAAGTCTAATGTTGATATACTTGTTTGTAGCTTCTGTCACAGATTGTTTTTTGTCAGAAAATCACTGCAGGGCAGACAAGTCCAGATGGGAAAAGAGCGGTGGAAGCAGTCCTAGTATCGCACCTTCTCTTCTGTTCTGCTGTGGTGCTCACTTTTATAAGGCCAGCAAAGTTAACTTCATGTTTCCTGGTGAAGGCAAATAATATTTCTTGAGGTCAAAGAGTGAGTTAATAGCAAAGGGAGACCTGTGATTGAAAACATTGTCTTCTCAATGTTCTGGACCTTCCTAAATATCATACCGCATATACCTTGTCTGTCTTGTCTTCCTTAGACCAGAAAACTCACATGACATAGGGGACACAACTTAATGGAAGCTTTTATCAGACTGTCTCCATACTTTTTATAAGTCATATGAGCAGGGATAGATTGCCTTATATGTATTATCCTGCTCACTTAAATGTGTAGTTGAAGGTCCATGTGTAGTTTAAGGTCTTCAACCTGAATAGGGGAAAAAATTGTCAAATTACCTTTAATGTGGAAGATGTATTTGTCTGTTTTCCATTGGAACAAATTAGATGCTCAGGCAAACAAGGGACTATCTTAGTGAACATGATAAAAAAGCTAAAACTCAAAAAATTTCTGTGGATGCTCTTCTGTCTGTTTTGAAGTTAACTCTTCAGTGTGGGTGCATGAGTGCTCTAGAAAAATCGAGGATGATAAGGCAAGCTGGCACAAAACATCCACAGAAAATGTAGGTAGATTAGGCAGAGCTAGAAGGCAAAGTCTATGCTGTTATGTTACCAGGAGTTTGTTGAAGGGGGCATGTCTGTGATTAATCAGCAGTTTTTGCTAGATATTTTTCAGTTAGTGGAGGCTGGACTTTTTAGCTTTGTGCAAATAATATTACTGAGCATTTTCTTGAGAGGTAACTTGTACTGAACTATCAGACTAAGTTTACGGCCATATTGTACACTTACTTTGTCATATACTAGTTACATGCACCAGCAGACAGAATTTAATATCTCAAAATGAGGTCAGCTAAAAAAGATCTTTTCTGCTGTGACACAAAATAGCGATGTTTGAAACTGGAACCTATTTGCATTTTTCTCTCATGGAAAAATTCTATTCAATTAATGCATCTTCATGTGGTATCTGTACAGTACTTTTTTGGCATCTCACAATTGGTGTACTAAGTTATATTTTTTGTTTAACCACTGGTGAGCAATGTCAGGAATAAGGTGATTCGTGTTAAGGAGTTTGGTTGTTTCCAAAAGGTGTTCCAGATGTAGTAGTACATAAATTCTGAGAAGAGTACCAGTTACATGAGCATGTGTTCTGAGCCACTCTAAATATGTTGTGAGAAAATCATGCTTGATAGTTTTACAGAATAACAGAGAGCGCCCCAACTGATGCAGTTGTAGGATGTCTTTTGTCCTCATGTCCTGATAAGCAGAATACAAAATCTTTGTATGATGATGTCAGATTAGAAAAAGCACTCCAGAATGTATAAGCTTTTTTTGATTATCTGCTTCTGCATACCTGCAAATGATAAACTATTCTGCAGAGTCCCAGGAGTTTGTAGTGGGTGGTGTTCACCTACATAGATTAATACTTCAATTAAAAGGTTATCTATATTCACCAGAAATTCAAAAGATCATACATGGCATATGGCTGTATATATGTTTTTCCTCATGAAATGCATATACATAAATTTAAAGACATATTGTATCTAACATGTCATCTGCATGAAAAGCTATTGAGGACAAGGCAAAATTAAAATTTATGTTGGTATACAGGGATTACTGCTGTCATGTATCCTGATGTAAAGTTAAGAATCAGCTGTGTCCTCCAACTACAATAATTCTTTTCCCTGCCTTCAAAGTTTTTATAGCCTAAATTAAAAAATAACATAAGGTCTGTCCTGGCAGCAAATTTTTTCAGGGGAAATTGGTACAATGAACTGGAGAGTCCTTAGAAGTAGAAAGATGCTTTGCAAATTTCCTAGTATACCTCTCGTGGTGTGTCTGTGGATTTTACTACTCAAAAGGCTGTTTGCAAATGCAAGTACTATATTTTGATTTTTATAGGATGGATAGTAATTGGAGAATTCTGTAAGTAAATTCTATAAAATGCCTGCAGAATGTAACCTTAGAATAGAAAACTACATGTTGATCAAGTAAGAGCAAATGTTGATTAATTGCTATCTAGATAAATGTACTTTTTTGAGATGTGTTTATTTTACTTGCAGTTGAGAATCGAGTTCGTCCATTAGTACTTGTTATTAAGAAGTGGGCACGTTTTCATGAGATAAATGATGCCAGTCGTGGTACTTTAAGCAGCTATAGTCTTGTGTTGATGGTTTTGCACTATTTACAGAGTAAGTATTTTTTACATGTTTAAACTGTCCCTTTTAAGTTCATATTGATGTAGTTTTCCCTGTTGAATGAAGTAAAACAAGTATCTCCTACACAGAAATACTTTGAAGTAAAGTGAGTTTTACTCCATTTCTTTAGTGTTGCATTTGTCTTTAACAAGTGGACCTGCTCTTTGGAGACAGAATTATCACCTTTAAAGAGGTTTGGAAAAAAAATGTACCTGGAGGACACTGTGTAGCTATAAAATAAACTCAAGTACTACTTCACAAGAATGCATAAGTAGTCATCTGTAGTCATCTCTGGCAGCTGCCACAGCTCTCTATGAAGGAGGAAAAAAGGGTTCAAATAATCATTTTCATGCAAAGCTGTGATCAGTCAGCTGTCTTGGGAAGATCAGCAGTCCAGAAACCAAAGAGGAGCCTTCTACCTGTGCTTCCTCAGCCTTTTCTGTTGGGGAAAAAAAGCATGAAAAAAAAGACCCTGAAGTGTGGCCCTGTGCACTGTACATGCATCTAAGCATCAGATTTTTAGGTTCTGATGTATTATTCATGCAGATTTTAAGCTTTTTTCTCCTGCTATATGCATGTGATGTTCCTGAAAATAGCCTGTGTCCTAGAATTTCTAATAGTATTTTTGTTGATTCTGTGGAGAGAAAAAAATAATACCTTTCTTTTGCACTAGTGTTCCTGCCTTTGCTAGGCAAATTTATTTTCTATACTTATTTCCATATTCGTATACTTATGTGGATGTCTTTGGACCCAAGTTTAGTGTGGCTTGAGTTTATTTTGTAGATACATCAGTATCTTGTACATGAGCTTTCTTCCAGATAATATGTCTAATTAACTTCAACAGTAAGAAAAGCAAACTCATAGGGCAAATGCTAGTGGTAAGTGGTAATTTTTCCCCTCCCATCCATCCTCTTAGTAAAACTTACTAAAGCATACACACCTAGATACAACACCTTGATTGTTTGCTCAGATTTTGTTGCCTTTTAATTTAGTGTGATAGAGAACTGGAAAGTATCCAAGATGGTGCAGAAACATGAACACTCGCAAACAAAAATGTTATTGAAGCAACTGTGGTAATTTTCTTAGCAGTCCTGATAGTATATTCTACTCTCTGAAGATACTCCAAGCACATTCTAAGAATTTTGCTATGCTGATTCTTACACCCTATGGGAAAAGGATTCTGTGACATCTCTTCGCCTGTAAGACCTTATAAAAGGGTGAACTAAGTCCCGAGTCCAAGACCAAGAGTTTGTTATTTTCCATAGTGAATATTGTAGACCAATTTCTTAAACCATGCTGAAGACATGATGTTAAAGCCTTAGTTTGAGGAGTGCTCTGACAGTTCTATAGCTGTTTGAGTAGGATGTAATTACTTTGGGATTTTGATTCATCTATAGGACCACCTAATCTGAGTGATTTTTTTTTTAATGTATCTAATTTATATGGTTCAATAGATGCACTCTCAATCCATGGTTTTCATAAAAGTAACCAATATTTAGATAATTTTGTGTTTGTTACTATTGTTAATGACGGCATGATCTTCATAACATATTTGCCATTTAGCAGACCAGCTAATACTATTAGGCTGTATTTGTGTATTTTGTGGGAATTTTGCTGGCAATGCCTACTAAGTGTGTTAAGCATTTTTTAATAGGTTACATTGGGAGACTCATTATGTAATACTTGGCAGCTGAAAAATGCATTCTTCTGCAGTAACTGTAGAATTGTATTAGATGTAAGGAAAAACAATGAATGAAGCTCTAATTTTTCATTTAGGGAATCTAGATGATTTTCCCATAGCTATGAATTCTGAATATGAACTTCAGAAATAAAGCTATACCCAGCTGTTATAGAAATTTTTCATGCCTTTTACATGTAGTAGTATCTTGGTAAGACCTTTCATTAGCTGAATAAAAGTCCTATTGTACTGTACAGTACTAAATATAGTAATAGAAATGTTTGCCAAATAACTTATTTTATGAAATGCATGAAAGTGAAGTTATTGTTAAATTTTATAAGATAGAATTTCATTGCAACTCTTTGGTGTAGTTGATATGCTATTTCTTCCATGTGAATTACATGAATCACAACAATTTTGACCTTTTTTTTTATAGCCTTACCTGAACCCATCCTTCCATCCCTCCAAAAAAATTACCCAGTAAGTGTTTCTTACGGATTTACTACATCATATATGTGTGTGACCCTGCTTATCTAAATATATGAATTCTTAACTATCTCTAATTGGATTAAGTTGAATTAACAGTTCCAGTAGATCAGGTCATTGATATGCCAGACCTAGGTGTGAAAAAGATTATTTGCTACTTTTGATAATTTCTTTAATGAAAATTGTTATGTATGGGAAGATCTGACACACAGTTAGAAGAAAGTGCTGATGAAAACCACTGACCGAGTTCTCTTTATGCTGGCCTAGAAATATTCCTGTGTCAGCTGTAACTTTCTGGTTCCTGTATCTTAATGTGTTTAGTGCCTTTTCATTCAGCTCTGTTGCTTCAGAATTCCATACGTTCCTACAGCTCTTGAGTTGCCTGATATTTCCATGTGCAGAAAGTGAGTGATACATGGTTTACTAAGGAAACTTGAGACATCACAACATTTGACTTCAATCCAAAAAGAAAGCACTTTTTTGGAACTTTGCTATTGTAGTCAGGTCATACTTTGTTCATTTCTGGAGAGGTTGATGAATCAGTATGCTTTGGTCCCTCCAGAATTAGGAGAGTTATAGTGAGATTTAATCTAAGAAAAATTATTTAGAAGAAAAAACTGCCCTCCTAAATATTTACCTGTGCACAGAAGTGCTGTTGCTGAATAATTCAATGCTGTAAATTATTTACAAATAAATGCTCAAACGGGAAATATTTAGTGGTGCTGAACATCAGGGAGAAAATACTGTGGTGTTGGCCATTTTGGGTAATTGAGATGCAAAAGAAAGCATTGGGCAATAATTCACTGCAGTTTTATTTATGCGTTGTAAATCTGCATAAGGGGTACCTGTGCTATATTTTTATGGTCTTTATCTTTTCCTGTCATTTTTTATGGTATTCTATACCGTCTAGTTTCTTCATTGGGAGTGCTGAAGAGCTTTTGAAACTATCTTTCTTTTCTTGTATCCTTAGCTTTATCTGATAGGTTTTTGAATTGATAGATTTGCTAATTACATTTCCTTAAAGTTTTTGTGCTGTAGTGTTCTAAGTTTTGTGTAGCATGTTATTTTGAGAAAAGTGTTTAGAACTGGCAACTTTTGACTCTTCTGTATTTATAATGCAGATATTTATATTTGTTGTGTTCGAACTTTGTGGAGACCTTCAGAATACTATACAAGTATTTATGCCTTCAGTCATTAAAGCAAATGTAGACAGTACCTTAAGCTAAAAAATCTAATTAATCTAAATGCAAAGTTTTATCTTGTGTTGTGTGAAAATGGTAAATTACTTGCAGGTGAGCACTGCTGTAAGAACTGCATTTTTGCCCTTTTCTGATATAGATTATCCTTGGTTTTGTTGTTCTTATATTTGGAGAATGGATGAAATATGCTAGAATTGCTAACAAGATTAGAAGAATATTTTATGCATGCTTACTGCAAACCAAATTGCAAGTATGTTTTTGTTCTACTGTCTCCGTTAGGAGTATAATTAAATGTTTAAAAATTATGAAGCTTGAAATTTCTGAATACTGATAGTTCAGAGGCATTTAAAGTGAAAAATGCAGTAAAACAATTTTGGTCTCATGGCTTGCAGTAATAATTAAAGAGCACAGGCAAATTTCAGTGTCAAAAGAAACCATATATTTTTCTTATTATTGTAGCTGGTCAGAGTTGTGTCTGTATACAAAAACTATACAAACATACTGCATCTTCCCTATGTGCATCTACCCACAATTTTTCAAAATCAAATCTGCAGCCTGAAAATACTTCCATGATATGGAGGAAACTGCTTGTCTTAAATTGTTAGTACCGTATAGGAGAGACATGCTTACACTGGGGAGGAAACAAAAGACAGATTCTGTGGCTCAGTGAATCCCTGCTACAAATATGAAGGGTGAGAAGTCGTGGAAAGCCTCCAGATTTGCATTCTTTTGCATTCTGTTATCGTGGGGGAGTTTCCAGCTGGCACCAAGCTGATGTGTTTGCAGCCACTAGTTTAAAGGGAGTATCAGACCACATCAAAGGCAGGGTTGTATTCTGGGGCTTCCCATGCCCCCTGGCCAGGTAAGGTAGATGACAATAGCCCACCAAGTACATTCATCAGTTTTGAAGTCTATATAGTATGTGCTTCCATGTCAGTACTTCACGGATAATCTCTAGAGAACCTGTGGTGGATTAAACCTTTGTGGCTGGTGAACGTGGCTGTCACTGGCACTCACAAGGAAACTTGTGCCTGACTCACCACTGTTTCAAGACGTCTGGTGTTTTAATTGAAGTCAAGATGAAATTGGGTTTCCATGAGTGCTCTGAATGGTGAACTTCAAGGACTCTAGCATGAGCACATTTTTGTTTCTGCTGTTTCAGCTTCATGTCATGTCTTGCAAAGGGTGGGGCAGAAGGTAGGATGGTCTTTAACATGAGAGTCAGCCCTTGGAAAGACGCAGTTTGCTTCACACTGAGTTGCACTTTTAAAAGATTTAAATATGAGTTAAGTACTTATTTATAGGACTGGGGAAAAGAATATTTTAAGTGTGTTAAAATATTATGCTGATGTAACTATTAAATTTTTTTGAACAAAGGATCTTGTACATTCAGAGGTTAACTCACTATACATCAAAATACTCAAATATAAATCTTACTTTGATACACACTTTTGTTCCTTTCCAGTGTGTAAGGTGGAATGAATTTACTTAAAAGCATTATGTAGCTTGAACATGAAGCATGTTGCTGAATACTGGTATTTCTTGAGAAATCAGCCAATCAAAGTAAAAATTAGAGATCCAGCAAAAAAGGCAAAAAACTTTCAGGTCTCTCTTCTGTGATATCTTAAAATAATGGAGAGCTCATTTGTATTTGTTGCTCAGTCAGATCCTGAATCTAATTTCTGTCTCTTAAGACAGCTTGAGGCAAAGACACAGTAAGCGAAATAGGGACTAGTTTTTAATAGAAGCTGAATCTTTTGCCTTCTAGAGCAAGTTAAGGAAAGAAAATGTACTTCCATTATTACAAAGGGTGCTTTGTAATTACATTTTTTTAGCAACCTCACCTATGTGCAGAATCTGTAAGCCGTACCTTATTTTGTTTGTGTAGTTATTCCCTGAGTCCCTCTAGTGGGAAGGAAAATACTGTTATCCTTGTTTTACAGCAGGTGGATGGAGATGAGTTGAAGCTAGGGGATTATCATGGGTTGTCTGTGGCAAAGCAGAAAAAAAAAATCTAGGTATCCCTTAGCTGGTCTGACCCCTTGTTCACTGGACATAGAGTGATTCCTTTGTTAAGAAATGACCTTAAATTACATTGTTGGTAATTGAATTATTGAATAATGGTATATCTTGACAGAAGCCGTCACTAAATATTGCCAATTTTAAGTAGCAATTAATTTGGTTTTACGTGTAGAACTTTCTAATATGGTAATAGCAACTTAAATAACAAATTTTCTGTATTTCAGAAAGGTGAAACACTTGGTTTTGCCTTCTCTGTGGGGTAATCAGCAGCCCACAATGCGCAAAAAATAAACCTACTAGCAGTATCACAAACATGTGATTAATACATTGCTTTTGTTTCCCTTAATAAGTCTTATTTTCTTCCAGAAAAGTCCAATCAGTTATGCCTTCTATTTTGCAACACTCAGTTATCTTTTTAAGAGCATTTTTTATAGTGACATATCCACTAAATCAAGTGGAAATGAGAATTACTTACATGTGTCTCTTAAACTAGGTTGTTGGGGGTTTTAATAGTTAGCTGCTATAGCCTGTAGCCTGTATTTTTACTAATGCACGTGTCTAGAATAATATGCGTGTATTTGCTTGAAAGCAAAAGCCTTTATGATTGAGAAAATCTTTGATTTGTCTGATATCTTATTGTCTACCAGTAAAAAAATAGCTTATTTTTATGAAAAAAATAATAAAATAAAGCCTAACTTTTTAGCTGTCGAGGCTATCAACCTCACTGTGATGGCAGAAGTCTCTTGCAATTGAGAGGTTCTCAGGCAATTCAATATTCAAAGTTTTAAAAAATTAATCTTGTCTTCCTTTTCTACTGCCTTCAAACACTTACTAGTCATAGTAGACATCTGTTGTAATTTCATTGCACTTCTGTTTTGTATTTTCCTAGGTCAGTGGCCCATTTTCTTCTTCCTTTCCCCTCCTCTCTTGTATGTTTCTTCTTCAGCTGGTATGCTGCTAATTCTAAATTCAATTTTTCTGACTCTTCCTGAGTTTTCTGTGGGGATGGGCAAGGAGTGACTTTCACTGTAGTATCTTTCGGGCAAGGAGTGACTTTCACTGTAGTATCTTTCTGATTAACTTTAGGGTTAAAACTGCATTTACTAGGTGGCATTGGAACAACTGCTCTTTCTAGATCTTTGTATACTGCATATCTGCTTTTTATGTCTGTTGCCATTGTTTTGGTGTCTTCTGATGAACTAGAAACTCTTAAATTCTGAGCTTTGTGAACTAAAATAATGTTTTACATATAACATTTTTATCATATGAGATCAACCATTGAAATTTCTATATCTCTAGAAAAGTGGCTTTTTTTCCCCAAAAGGTGTTGCACAAGGTTCCAGGAAGTTTTGCTGGAGCTGACAGAAAGAAGATGGGAGTCTCAGACTTTCCAGTCCTACTGGTTTTGTCACTTAACAGTACTTTTCTCAGAGGAAGTAGTGCCAGCTGTGGACATGGAAATAATACTACACTATGTAGTGCTTCTAGTGCTATTCTAGTACTATAAAGTTTGAATCACACCTGATACTACTCTTAAAAATAAAAAATGAATGGGTGGGGAGGGGAAAGAAGATATAGTAATGAGTGAACAGGTTCCTAAATTTAAATAAATGTGTGTCTTTATCTGATTGTAATATTTGCTTTTGTGTACCTTGAGTTCATTTTCAGTAAAACACACAACACTGCTGTAAAATGGTGTTAAAACCAGGTATCAGCAAGTTATAAAAATTGTTCCTGTAGCAAGAGGTGATATGTTTACTTCTATGTACCCCAGTCTGTCACAAGAACCTGAAGGATGCAATGAACACTGAAACAGCAGAGCAGTTCTAAAACCATGTGTATTTAGTCTTCTATGTATTCCTTTTTAAGCTGGCAATGGTGCCTTCTTTTTATAGCAAACCTGATTTTTTCTTACCCCATCATACTCACCCTCTTCCCCTACAGAAAAGCATGCTTCAGCTGAAATGCAGCATTCTGTGTATTCACGTGTTTTGTATAACTTCATTGGTGGGTGCGGTTTTTTTGTTGGTTGTTGGGTTTTTGGGGGTTTTTGGAGTTTTTTTGTGTTTGCTTTTTTTTATTTCTTGGCTAGAGGAAGTCATATCTGCAGTCTTTATGTTTATTTTGTGGGTGGATGCAGGTTCATTCATATGCAGTTTTTAACTTGGTGCTTGGGAGCAATGGTAGGCCTTCCTCTGGATTATTTCTGTACTTCAGTTAAGCTATGGGAAATTGACAGTAGGTGCATTAACTTCACCTATGTATTTCTCAGCTGAACTGTAGTCAGCTCAGTGCAGGCTCAGCTTTTACTTTGTGGTTTTAAATGCAAGTCTAGTTCAAAGATTCTCCCATGTTAAAATTCCTTATCTTGTATGCTTCTGTGCAAGATAATTCTACCTGAATTCAGGGGGAGTAACTAGTATTCAGTGGGGCAGAAGAGGAATAGTCCTTGGCTTGTCCTTGATCTTATAATAAGCAAATAATAGGCATCTTTCTTATTGTGGAAAGTACATGTATCTGAGTTAAGGCTATCTCTGTGTATATGTAGGTATGTATGTATGTATATATATATATATATATATATATATATGTATATATATACACACACTCTGATTTTATTTTGACAGGAATGTTTTGATCCTACTATGCAGTTGCATTTTGTTCATCAAGCGCCACGTACCATTCCTCCTTACGTCTCAAAAAATGGATCAAGCCTTGGAGATTTGCTAATAGGCTTCTTCAAATATTATGCCACAGAATTTGAGTAAGTAATAAGATGATTTTAGTGGTTTAGAAGATGTGAAACTTTGATTCCTTCTATTCAATATAGCAACACTTTATAACACTTGAAAGAAAGAAAAGCAGCAATGCAAGAGGGGTAACTGAGAGAGAGGAAGGCTATGAATGGAAAGGCTAAATGACAGTAGGAATGCCAGTAAATTGTCTGATATCTTCTACTTAGCTACACATTCTTTCTTGTAAAATAGTTCCCAAAAGTTAGAGAGCTTTGTCCTTTTAAAATTGCTGGGGTTTGTTATACTGTTACGCTATTCTATAACTGCCTATTCATGTGTAAGATCTGTTCTTAGTTGTCATTTACGGCATCAACTGTGATATTAATTATTTGGACCTTGAGGGCTGTGCTTGTCTTTTGTCACACTTGAGTCAATGGCGGTAACTGGCCAGGTGGCTCCTTATTTTGATCAGACTATAGATCTGTACAGGCTTCACCTAGTGAAGAATTCTCTCATGTATAGTTGTTTCACTCACATTATTGGTTTGCTAGAATCTGGGTTCCTTTTTGGCATCTGGACTTCCTTATATAAAAGGAGAGGCTTAAGTTGTGAGGACATCTGAAAAAGCCTTAAATTACAACTGTTTTGCCAAATTGTTACCCATGTACTTCTGAATTTCTTAGAAAAAATGCTTGTTCCTATAAAATATCAAATGGTTGTATCTCAATCAGCTTAAAGATCTTCTAAATAACATCTGAGGCAATTGTTTCATGCATGTTGCTGTCCTGCTTATGTGCATCATAGGAGAACAAAACAGACAATTGGATACGCATAATTTTGGAAGTGTTCATAATTTACTTTAATATAAGAAGTGAAAGACTGTAAAATCATTAAAGCATTTCTGGGGTGTGCATCACATGTAAAATATGTAAGCTAAATCCCTATGGCCTGTAGTAATGCATGAACCAACTGCATTTTGTGCATGCTTAAGACTGACTGAAAGATTTTCATGTAAGAAATTTTCTTTCAATGATCTCTGCAGATAAGAGAATGGTCTTTTGTCTGAAATGTTTCTCCTGACTACTTGTTTTTTCAGCTGACAAGGTGATGTTTACTAAAGAGGCAAATGAGAAGACCGTGCTGGGGGATAACCTTAGATTCTTAGTTTGTGTGGGATACTACATGAATCTTTTACTACTTGACTGTACAAGCTGTTAATCTTCTTATATATGAAAGTAAATATCTTATCCATTAAGGAATTTTCTGGTTTGCCTATGCAAAGTACCAGAGATGATCTGGTCTAATTACAGGAAAAATACTTAGTTTGACTTTTTTGAGTTTGGGTGCTTGTTAACATAGTCAAGACCAGATTTCTGCCTAAGTTGGTGGCTGGTCCAGAATGACTTAATTTTTGTCTGCTATTAGAAAGGATATGCTAAGACATATGCAGACCAAAAATTCTGCAATATCAGTGGTTGAGCTGATTGCAATCCCTAAATACTATTTTTCTGATGAATATAAATCAGGAAAAAATACTGCCTAGATCTATTCATAGACACACAGAGGAGCTTCTGGATAAAAGAAAGCTTGAAAAAGTAGATAGTGAAGATAGGATAGTTGCTGATGTCAACAGAAGAAAATGTTTCAAAAAGCAGCTGAATAAAAAGAACACCTGATGTGTTCTTCTGGTGTTTAGTATTTGTTAAGTATTTAATCATTTCTCTTGTGATATTTTGTTAACAAAAAAGAAGAAAATACCAGTAAAAACAGCCATTAGAATTCCTGTGTTGAAAATGCTACTACATAGCTGAGAAGTGATTTGAGGAAATTATGCACTTAATGCAGCAGTCTTTATTATTTTTAACTCTTTCTGCTATGGAAATTAAAATTTAGTCAAGTGTACAGTTTATCTGTGTATCCCTTTCAACTATAAATCCTCTTAGAAAGGAATAGGATTGATAGTGAAATTCGATGTTAGTTTCATTGACTGGAGAAGACAAATTAGTGCACCATAGGGAGAAACATGAACATGGTGCTTAAAAAGTTTTGTGTGTGTGATACCCAGCCAGTGAAAGTAAAAGTCTCATGCTAGCCACAGGACCTTTCATCTTTCCTTTGAAGTTGCTGATGGAAACAACAGTACAAATGAGAATGAGGGTAAGAATGAAATACATAGAATCATAGAGTAATAGAATATACTCGACTGGAAGGGACTCGTCAGGATAATTGAAATCCAACTCTTGGCCCTGCATGGGATCATCCCTAAGATGCATTGTCCAAACACTTCTTGAACTCTGTCAGGCTGGTGCTGTGACCACTTCCCTGGGGAGCCTGTTCCAGTGCCCAGCCACCCTCTGGGTGAATAATACTTTCCTAATATCCAAATTAAACTTCCCCTGACTCAGTTTCATGCTGTTACCTTAAGTCCTGTCATGAGAGTGAAGAGATCAAGGTCTGCTCCTGCTCTTCCCCTCATGAGGAAGTTGCAGACTGCAATGAGGTCTCCTCTGTCTCCTTTTCTCCAGGCAGAACAGACCAAGTGACCACAGCCACTCCCCATACAGCTTCTCCTCAAAGCCCTTCATGGTCCTTGTGGTTGTGCTTTGAACAGTCTCCAGTAGCTTTATGTCTTTCCTATACTGTGACACCCAGAACTGTTCATAGCACTCGAGGTGAGGCCATCCCAGTGCAGAGCAGAGCAGGACAATCCCTCCCTTGCCCGGCTGCTGATGCTGTCCCTGATGCCCTCAGGACATAGGTGGCCCTCCTGGCTGCCAGGGCACTGCTGGCTCATGTTCAGCTTGCAAATACAGCCAACACAGGGCTCTCATAGTTCTGTTTTTCATGGAAGAAACTAGTTAGAGTGTGAGTGTTCCTTTTCTTTGATGTAATAAGTAGTTTTTTCACTGTTTTCCCTGTGAAACATTTACTAGTGTCTTTATGCACCAAAATTCTGAGATTGTATTTCAGACAGTGTGACTGTTAAATGAGGCTATATTTTTATGATCTGTACGGAGCCACTGAACTTTCCCTGTTGGATTGTCATGTGTTTGATGAAAAGATTGCTTCAGAGATTGTGACTTCAATTTTTGTAAGCTCCTATCTGTGGAGTAGGATGCACTACCAGATTTGATACACAGGAACCGTTTTACTGAATGGACAGCATGCAATCAAGAATGATCAGATCATGTGTAAAGATCATAATTTTGAACAGAATAAACCATTGAAGCCACCTGTCTAGAATGTTTAACTACTGATCTATTTTACATGTAATCATCAGGAAATTAAGAGAAGATGGACATATATTCTTTTAAATTTCTCCCTCTAGCAAAGGCCATTATGTATTTCAATTAAAATCAGTGATTTTTTTTTACTTGATGTAGGACAAGATGGGCTTAAAGAGTATAGCAAAGGAAGAAATAGGAGCTTTGCATCCTGTGCAGTCATGCATAAGTCCTTGTGCTGTATTTATTTTCCCTTATGCTTTAAACTGTTTTGTTTATTTAGACTATAAGATGTTTCAGAAAATTGTTTTTCCACAGTCTTACTCTAGGGTTTTCTGTGTGTCCATAAGAAGTAATTTTTGTACCTCTTTATCCCTGTCCCCAAAGAAATGTGGTTTCGAAATTGCAGCATGTATTAGAATAGCACACCCTATATGGCAAAGCCTGTTTTGCCTTTATGGTTGTATATTTATCTTGCCATTAGAATTCAAGTCTGTGTAATGCTTCTTATGATACAGCTGGCTAGGGTAGTGACTTCATTTTAACTTTACCTATTTAAAATTGTCCACTGATTAAGTAGTGAATGTAATCAAAAAAAAAGTGTAGATGTTCCCCGAAGCAAGTATTTGGAAACGTGTTTACCAGCCCCGCTGAAGGAGGCATCTGATTTCAATTCTGCAGTCGTGAGTGAAGGCAGCAGGTTGTCACTTGGCTGTCTCCTTACAAAGTGAGACCTGAAGCAAGGCGTTGCTCACCTGAATTTATTCTTTGTGATTACTTCCCTTAAATTTACCATGGCAGGTTAAGTAGCAGTTGTTTAAGATCATTCACTGATTTGTTTATGGTGCACATGGTAAAAGCTTGCTTACATTTTAATGACAAAATGTAAAATTTCAGCAAGAAGTTGCTTGCAGCTCTTTTCACAATAGAATGAGTTAGGAAATAAAGGGATAATTTTTAATACTATATTGAATTAAATATATTTGTAACTTGTATCCATCTTACTGTGTGTACAGAAGTGGCTTTGATTTGTAAGAATGCTCTGGAAAAGAAAAGATTTTTATCCTGTTTGTACTGTAGTCATACAAACACCTGAAATTTCTAGTCTTCTCCTTTCAAATACTTACCTTTGCCATGAAGATGACATACTTAATGCATTCAGTGAATACAGAAATAATTGGTAATTGAAGCAGCTGTTTAAATGGCAGTGTTAACTCACACATAGAAAATGTGTGCCGGGAGAGTATCTGCTTTATGTTGGCATCAATGAAGTTATTATATGCAAGCCAAAGTGGCTAAAATTGACACACAAATAATTTGTTATTCATAATTAATTTCTAATTCAGTATGATCTTGGTACCAAGACAGTTCTGTATGACTGTCAGATAAAAGAGTTGTTTTCAAATTTAAATTTCAATTTTAAATAAAAGGCTTTTAAGTTTCAAATTTAAATAAAAGGCTTTTTAAACAGCAAGAAGTGCCAATTTTTTGTTGCTTTTTGCTTAACTAGTGTATTATAAGTGCATTTATATTTTTGCTGAGGGATCAAGTATAGCCTAGGAAGAAAATAATTCAAGAGAAGAATTGCTGTTTCAAGTGAAACAGTACTGCCTTGTTAAACCAAATACACATCAAATACTTCTTTGCATGACTTTCTCTGTCACTCTCTTTCTCTCTTGCTCTCTCTTGCTCTCTCTTGCTCTCTCTTGCTCTCTCTTGCTCTCTCTTGCTCCTCTTTCTCTCTTCCTCCACTGACCTGGATCTCTTATTTTTAAGTAAGGTTTTAAAAAAAGCAAACTGTAAGCTTCTGCTTGCAACATGTGTTTTTGAGGTGCAGTTCAAGCTTGTTTGATGCTCTAAGCACGGGGGGTTTGTCTTTTGTCTTTTTGTGTATGTGTGTGTGTTTGGGGTTTTTGAGCAGTTCATCTGAATTAAACCTATATTGATGGTTGATTATTAAAAAACATGTTAGGAAATTATTTGATGCTTGACATGCCTATTTATCACAAAAGTATTTACTGTGGGAATTAAGGAGAGGAAGGATTATGGGTTAGAATGGAGGCTTTACTGTACATTGAATTCTAGAAAAGATGATCATCATTACTAATTTTCTAAAGGATATATTAAGAGAAAGCTGAATATACACACTGAGGTATCCTAGATCTCTTCACGTGCTGTGTCCTGCATTTTTTAAAAACAGGCCCTATTCATAGTGTTAAATATTTGTGTTCTGTGGAATTACAGTTATTGAAACAACTGAGCTCCATAGGAGGCTTTAATTATGAGTTGTATTCAAGATAACTTGTAAAATTAGTCAGGATTTTTAGCTGCCTTGTCATTGTTGACTTAATGGAGTTACAACAGCAGATCTGTGGCCTAGGGAGGACAGAATTCTTTCAGATTTAACTGATGAATGAACGGATGACAGTATTTTAATTTACAGTTGATATCTACAGATTTACCGCTGGTGGTTAATATAACCAGCCTAGCTCCTCTGCCAGGTAAGACCAGTACAGCTGGAAGCATATTGCCCAGCTATTTCTACCCATTTAGTCAGGACATATGGTGATGTATTGGTGATCCAACTGTTTCACTGATGTGATGGCTCCTGGGTTTGCAAAATCATCAAGATTAGAAGAGACCTTTTAGACCAACTTCCAATGCAGGACCACTGTAATCACCCCTAGAACATATTCCCAGGTGCCACATCCATACATCTCGTGGGCATTTCCAGAGATGGTGATTCCATCACTTCCCTAGGCAACTTATTCCAATGCCAGTTTACTCTTTCAGTGAAAAATCATTTTCTAATACCTAATCTGAACCTCTACTTGTACAATTTAAGGCCATTTCTTCTTTTCCTTGACACATGGCAGAAGAGATTGACCCTCACGTGGCTACAACATTCTTGTAGTTGTAGAGAGAGTTAAGTTCCTCCTTGAGCTTCCATTTCTCAAGAATAAAAAGCACCATTTCCATCTGTTCCTCATAGGACGTGTTTTCTAGACTCTTTCCCAGCTCTTCTTTCAACGAACATCAGGACCTCAGTGTCTTTCTTGTAATAAAGGGTGAAAAACTGAACACAGCACTGGAGGTGTGGCCTTAGCAGGGCCCAGCACAGGAGAACAATCCCTGCTCTGGCCCTGCTGGCCTCACCATTGCTGATCCAGGCCAGGATGCCATTGGCCTTCTTGGCCACCTGGGCACAGCCTGGCTCATGTTCAGCTGCTGCCACCAGCACCCCAGCCTGGGTGCTGCCTTTCCAGCCACTCTGTCCCAGCCTGTGGAGCTGCCTGGGGTTGGTGTGACCCAAGGGCAGGACCCAGCACTAGGCCTTGTTGAACCTCACACCATTGGCCTCAGCCATGATCCAGCCTGTCCAGATCCCTCTGCAGAGCCTCCCTGCCCTCCAGCAGGTCAGCACTCCCACCCAGCTTGGTGTCACCTGTGAACTGATAGAGGGTGCCCTCCATGAGATCACTGGTGAAGATGTTAAACAGGACTGGCCCCAGTACTGAGCCCTGGGGAGCAGCACTGGTGGCTGAACACCAGCTGGATGTAACTCCACTCACCACTACTCTCTGAATAACACCAGGCAGTTATTCATTCAGTGAAAAGTGCACCTGCCCAAGCCATCAGCTGCCAGTTTCTCAAGGATAATGCTGTGGGAAATGGTGTCAAAGGCTTTGCTAAAGTCCATGCAGACTACATCCACAGCCCTCCCGTATCCATGTTGCCACAGAAGGAGATCAGGTTGGTCAGTCAGGATCTGCCTTTCATAAACTCCTGCTGGCTGGGCTTAGTCCCATGACTGTCTTGGATATGGGACATGATGGCATGCAGGATGAGCTGCCCTCTTTAGCTGAAAGCAGCTGAAAGGTGGCTGGGTAAATGGGAACATAAAACTGGAAGTGGGGGTTTTTTTGGCTTCCATTATGTTTGGGATATTGTGCCAAGTGTTATAAAGATGATGGCACATCAAAAGGCCATATAATCTACCTGCTGTTCCTGTTTAAATGTGGTAATTTCCATGTTTTGTTGTTGTAAAGCTGCCTGCAGAAAGTGATAGAGAGTTGTTGTACTTGCAGATCTAAAATTCATCATATATTGAAACTTTCTAGTAATAGATTCCTTGCACAAGGAAGGCCTATGAGCAAATTATTTCTACATATCTTTATACTATTGAGTGTTGTTTATGGAATGCAGAATGTGACTTGTCTACACTTATTCCATATATTCCTTTTCTTCCTACAGAAAATTCTGAAAAATTTGACTCTGTATTTTATTTTGAACTTGGAAATAAATGTAGGTCACAATGTAAATTGTCACAAAGTTTGACATTGTTAGTAGAAAAATTCCACTGTGAATATATGTTACTCATGGATAGCTGTGATGCTCTGTTTTGGAGATGCTTTTTGTACTTGAAGTTCTGTTAGTAGAAAAATTTTCTTGTTTCCTACTCATCATGTTAAACTAAATTACTCATTATTATAAAATACTGTGATATCCAGACTTATAACATTGCAATCTGACAATTTTTTAAATATAAACTGATAATTGAAGATAACTAAGAGTTAAAATTTTTTACCAATTGTTTTCTTTTTCTTTAGTTGGAGCCATCAAATGATATCAGTTCGTGAAGCCAAGGCTATTGCAAGACCTGATGGTATTGAATGGAGAAACAAATTTATTTGTGTAGAAGGTAATACGTGAAGCTGCATTATAGTTATTAAGTGTTAAGGCATTAAATACAAAAATCTATCAATTAAACTTTACCTTGGTTGTGTTTTGAGAAATATATTGCATGTGTGCATTATGTAGAGAAGGAAGTATAACCAATGTAAGTAGTTGTAAACAGTCCCGTCAAAAACATTTGAGAAGGAAGCTTTAAGCTCTAAAGTGTTTAAAAATAGTACTCCTGACCTTTTCTTCAAGAGCACTCATTGCCCTGTTACTTTTGGAACAGGGCTTAGGATTTTGATAAGGAATAGTCTTTATGCCAGTAGTGTGTTTTTTTCTGCTCCACAAAAATAGTTGTCAGTTTTGCCAAGTTTGAACTTCTGAAAAAACACAGCAGGCATATACTCAGATTATTCTTGAAGAATATTATTTGTTCTTGCAATGTTCTGGCATTGCACTGACTAGGTTATGTGTACGTTGATCTCCTTGTGGGTACTATTTTTGGCTGGCTAGTGAACATAGGCTTTGTGCAGAGACTACATGATGCCTTCCAGAACTGGAGGGTAAACCCAGGCTACCTGTTGGAGTTGCAGGTCTCAGCTGTCTCAGTGCAGAACTGAGTAGGAGCACTATAAAGATAACCAGATTCATGTGCTAGTGACACCTTTCAGCTGCCGTGGGGAATGTACATGGAGAAGATGAGCAGGTAAGCATACATAGGAGATGAAGCTTGCAGTAAGGAAAGAGAAGATGATAAACCAAGAGAAGGATTGAGGTGTTAGGAGAATGAGGACAGACTGAAGGGACTGAGAGTTGCTGGGTAACTGGAACCAGTTGTCACAAAGGGAGAGGTGGCCTGAGTCCTGGCTTCAAATTAATGAAGGCTGTTAGGATATCAAGGGTTGACGTCATAGGATGAAATAGGAATATAACTTGAAGGGGAGACAAATGGTATGAGGAAAGTTGTTAGACACTGAGAAGATTTTGCTGGGCAAGGAGGAGAATAAGTCTGTTCATCTGTAGGTGAACAGACATTCTTCAAGATTGATAACGTTTAGGGTTGAGGTATGTATGTACTTTCCTGCATTTGTACTGCTCTGTGCAGAGAATCGCCTTCAATCAACTTCACCTGCATGTGAACTTGGTTATTCTGTGGTCCAAAGCTCATGGACTTGGCCATAGTCATATGAATGTCAGTGTAAAGCCACATGATAGGATTCCTATTCTTTATTTGACCCTTTGGGTAAAAGTCAACAGTTATAGGAGAAGAAGAACACACTGAAATATAGTTGCATTGGACTCTGTGGTCTTAGAGTTGAGAAAGGTGAGAATTAGAGTATTTGCACAGCTGAAATGATTCAGAATAGCGTAGTGAGGCACTGCCAAGGCTCTTGTCTGAATGTGGGAGGTGGGAATGCTGGGCTGCTATGTTTGCTGCTGTCACGTGATGCTGATCCACTGTGTTGCAGGGCACTGTGTGTTTGAAGCTCTCAAGTATTTTATGACATTACAAAGTGGTTGAATAATTAGGTTCTCTTTCTACCAGGCTGAAAAATAGAATATACATCAACATAGATTGATTACATAGAACTTTTCCTTAATGTGTTTGCTTTTGAACTATTAAAAAAGTCAAAATTATCTATAGGTGGCATATCTGATTCCTTCCTTGGTTCAAGACTTAGTGGGTTTAGCCTCACAAACCATCTTTTTTACTTCTGATTTGGGAGGGAAAAATAAAATCTACTTTTGCTCAAAGTAGACTTCATGTTTATAACAGCTGTTAAACTGAACTAGGTTAACAAAATATGTACATAAATTTCTGTGTACTTGAGAATAAGATTGCAAAAGTTAGGTAAACATGCCAATATATTCTGTTTTCCAAGTCTTTGTCAAATTTTCCTGTTCACAGAATAAAATTTCAGTAATTGGTACTATTGGTTTTATTTTTAAATATTTAAAATGTATTTGTTGATAGATTACACAATTCAGTGCAAGTTTCCACAATTCTGCTTATAGTACTGTATTTAGATTAGCTCAAGAAAAACTGTATTATGTTTTAAATGTTATAGGCCTTAAGGCTGATTCTCACATGTATTTCTGCTGTTAGAGAAACAAATATAATAGAGATACTCTTTCCAGACACTTTAAAATATGATAGGCTTTTACCATGATGGGGATACAGAGATACAGAGAACCCTGCTTTTAGATAATATTTTGAGCAATCCTTGTCAGAATCTCTAAATGGCAATTAACTATTCTAGTTTCAGTTTAAATCTTGTCAGTATCAAGTAATATCAACTTCTGTCCTGCTGGAGAATAGGAAAAGCTAGAAATGTGGCAATTTTATGAGATAATTACATTGATAATAATTTAGGGAAATCAAAACAGAAGCCACCTAAGCTGTACCTGATTCATATTTGTAGTTTCAAGTCTTTCAGATCCACATGCTAAAAATAATTCAAAAAATAATTCCTCGGGCTTGGTTAGCAGCAGTTCTGGAGCTCTGTGATATCATGTATTTTTGTTTGGAAAAATGATTCCCTTTAGTCTTTCCCTCAAGCATCAGTGTTAAAGCTGTATTACTTTTTTTCTTTTAATATTCTCATCTCTGTTTGTGAAGAAAATAACTTCAAGCAAACTTTTTACTGTCTTGATGGTTAGAAAATGTAGTGGTGTAAAGAGTAGCTGATTGTAAAATTATTCTTGCTGTGCTTCAGAGAACCAGTTTGTCTTTTGACAATCAGTAAATATGTGGCAATATTAAAGGGAAGATGTAAGTTAGCTTTTGTGACTGGAATGCCTTTTTTCCACTGATAGTTTGAGAAGATTGTGCAGTTCAGCCCTTGTGGCTTTAAAATATAAATATGACTTGACTCAACATAAAGGTCCTAGCATTAAAAAAGCAGTTACCATCACATTTATGATACACAAATGAAATGGTGTATTTGTTCACATAGTATATGTGAACTGGAGTTATTAATTATACTAGATCACTCTCAAATAATGGGACTGATATTAGAGGACTGTGTATGTTTTGTTTAGTTTTCAGTTTTTGTTCTAAACAAAAAGTGTGATGCATTCTGAAATAAAAGAAGTCTGCCTGTAACTGTCCACTGAAAACTAGGTAGTTTGAAGAGAATCCTTCTAGAAGATTGCTAAATACAACATTTATTGCATGAAAGAATTTCTTAGTGAATTTAAATAGCTAATAGGAATAAAAAAGCCATGCAGCACATACCAAATTTGAAATTCCGGTCCCCATAAAGGTACAAGCCCTTCTGGTGTCTGTGTAATGCTTTATTTTGCTATACATCACTGTCTGAATGAAAGTAATTCATAACCAACTCGACAAAAAAAAATCTACCTGATCTGACAAATACTTCTGTGTTTCTGTGGTCCTTGAGGACTTCCATACATTCTACCAGTGTGAAATACACAATATTACTTAAATAGTTCTCTATTAAGGAAAAACAAAGACTATAAAATCTGTTTTGTAGCACACTGTAATGCATAGTCCTTGCATCATAATTTTTTAGTATCAATTGCTTTAATGTTGGCCACCTTATCAGTAGCAAGAGCTACTTTTTCAATCTTGCAATTAAAAAAGTTCCAAACTATTAATTAATTTAACGTCACATTTATTTGTCATCAGTTAGAAAGTAGAATCCCCAAATGGTTAACTTATGAACAAATATTGTAGAATAGGTATGGTGTGATAAAGGTATGAGCAGTTGGTATGTCTTATATTAAAATTATACTAAATATTTTACTATATTCTCAGTATTTCACTGAGAAACTGTAGAATGAGATGAATCTAAAGTGAATAGTTCCAAGAGTCTCATGTGTAATAAGTTTCAAAATATTTTAATATGCAAAATCATAGTCTGATATGTTATCACAGACTGTTGAGCTGTAGCAGATAATTACTACTGCATAAATTCAGCACAATCATCATATGCTTCAACAGATAATAAGCTGAGTTTATGAGGAATTACATATCATTAAAACATTCATTGAATCATAGAATGGTTTAGGTTGGAAGAGACTTTTAAGTATCATCTCTTTCCAACTCCCCTGCCATGGACAGGGACATCTTTCACTAAACCACTTTTCTCAGAGCCTTATCCAACCAGGCCTTGAGCACTTCCGGGGATGGGGCATCCATAGCTTCTCTAAGCAACATCTTCCAGTGCCTCATCACATTCACAGTAAAGAATTTCTTCCTATTATCTAGTCTTAAGCTTGCCCTTTTTGGTTTAAACCTATTCTATCTGGTCCACGACATGCTGTTGAGAAAAGTCCCTCTCCAGCTCTCTTGTAGGCCCCATTTACATACTGGAAGGTGCTATGAGATCCATCCCAGAGCATTCTCCCTAGGTGGAGCAACCCCAGCTCTCTTAGTCTGTCCTTTCAGAAGAGGTGCTCCATCCCTCTGATCTCTCTGTGGCCTCCTCTGGACTCCCTCCAGCAGGTCCCTGTCCTTGCTGTGCTGTGCCCCCAGAGCTGATGCAGCCCTGCAGGTGGGGTCTCAGCAGAGCAGAGCAGAGGGGCAGAATCCCCTCCCTGCCCTGCTGCCCACCCTGCTCTGGATGCAGCCCAGGACACGTGTGGCTCTCTGGGCTGGCAGTGCCCATGGCTGGGGCATGTCCAGCCTCTCAGCCACCAGCACCCCCCCAATTCCTTCTGGGCAGGGCAGCTTTGAGTGACTTCTCCCAGTCTGTAATCGTGTCTGGGATTGTCCCGACTCAGATGCAGCACTTCGCACTTGCAGTTGTTGAACTTCCATGAGATTCGCATGGGCCCACTGCACAAATTTGTCCATATGCCTCTGGATGGCATCCTGTCCTATAGTGTCATCTGGACTGCTCGGCTTTGTCTCTCTGACAGTGTTCTCTATTCGGAGCATTCAGAGAATTCAGTGTTTTGGTTTTGGGGGTTTTTTTTGGGTTTTGGGGTTTTTTGGTGGTTGGGTTTTTTTGTTGTTGTCAATTCCCTCCTCCTTTTTATTGGTTTGTTTGTTTTGTCTTGGGTTTTCTTGTTCTTGTGGTGGGGCAGTTATTTTGTGTTTTTGGTTCGTTTAGTTTAGTTTTGTTTTGGGTTTTTTTGGATAAATGTTATGTAGAAAGAAAGCATGAGAACTAAAGAGGAATTGAGTATTTAAAGCACTTTTGGGAAGCAGTTGTATGCTTGACCCTGCTTTGTTAGCAGAGATAACCAACTCTAGATTTCTTTGAGTTTTCACGTTTGATTTTGATCTTGCAGAGCCCTTTGATGGGACAAATACTGCTAGAGCTGTACATGAGAAACAGAAGTTTGATATGATCAGAGGTGAATTTGTACAGGTAAAAAGTAATCTCATGTAATTTTTCTGGTCACTTTGTTTTTCAAGATAGTTTTACTATCTTGAAAATGCTAGTCATTAAACCTGCCTGTTTCTGATGTTTTATAGTTTGTACTGTAAGTAGTTAAAATGCATGTTTTTAAAAATATGTGGATCATTTAAGAATATTCTTTAATGTCTACCAATAAACTTCAGGTTTACACTGAAATGGGTACTCAAACTAGTACAACAAAGTTACAACTTTGTTTTCATTTATTATTTATTCCTACATTAATTTGAGTGGCAATAGATAATATTTTATTCTTCTTACAATCCCCTTTTTTAATAAATATCACCACCAAAATAATGGGGGCTTTCTGATTTTTGATAACTTACTTAGGTGGGTACTTTTCTTTAGGGAGATCACACTCATAATTTTAGAACATGAGTAGTTCAAACATGAACTTTTACTGTCCGAGTCAGGGGATGAAAGGACACTTTGAAACAAGGAAAAATTTAGACTTTGGTTAAGCATTTTTCTGAAAATTTTTGCTATCAACTCTTTTATGCTTCTCTCCCATCATAGGCATTGCATAGGTATTGCAACTCAAATTCTAGGTTTCTGAGATCTCCGACTATTTTTTATGTAGGTATGTCTAGGGATTAGTGGCTTCCAACTTTAAGTTGGAAGTTAAGACGCCCCTGTTAAGCTGTCCTTGGAGGTTCGTGTTTACTCCAGTTATTCATGTCTTCAAGTACCTTGAAGGCTTCTCCAGCAAAACATAATTCAGTGCCAGGTACTTGTAACAGAGCAAACGCTAAAAGAGACACCTTAGTCATTTTCCTTGTAATTCTATTCAGAAATGTTAATAAGTTTTTCTTTTATTAAACCATGTTAGCATACAAAATACTGAATCATTCACATACTGGTACATAAAATAGTTGATTTTGTGAATCTGCTAAAGTCACATTCACTACGTGGTTTAGGCTCTCACGGTACTCTGAAACTAGAGTGAACTTCTCTTTCCAGAGTTTTCAATTAACAAAATATGTTTCAAACCTCTGTGGTTTTCTGAAAAATGTAAAAGTAGATGTTTGATCCTAGCTGTCTGGAAGCAATATGCTAGAGTGAAACAGCCCTGAAAAATGTCCTTTTTACCAGATACCATAAGAATGACAATTGCTCTAAAAGTGCAAGTACTTTTTAATATCCTGCACTATTTTTAAAAAAGCTTAAGCAATCTGTTTTGTCCTTGAGAGGATTATTCTTCTTGTGGTTTTCATTACACATTGGAGTATAAATGACTTCTGTATAAACACAGGAGGGTCATTGCAGTTGTTTGCAAGCTCATGGCATAGCCGATGTCCTGAAACTCACACTGGAACACAGAAGAAAGTTGAAATAACCTATTTTAGAGACACATCTGAGTTCTGGAAATGGTAGTACATAACATTTAACATGTGCGAATTTTAGACAATTATTTTGCAGTTAGAGTACGAGTGTAATGCTTAAATATTGTTAACATTTCCAGTCTGTTCTTGAAAAGCTTTACCTTCCTCATTAGTTCATTGCATTTTGTGTACTTTTTGGATTTTGCTTCCCTTTAAAAATCCCAAAACCAAAGGACAAAAAATACCTCAACCCACAAATTTTCTTTTCAAGAAGGGGAAAAAAATCAACCTTATATTTGTGGCACTGTGATGCTTACTGTTTATAATGGTATTTAAGTTTTAATGCAAAGATTATGTAGTCTTTTCTAAAAAACTTTGTGTTTTTTTTTCCTCAGGCTTGGCGGTTATTACGAGAGAAGAAAGACCTGAACTGTATATTGCCCTTAAAACCAGTCAAACAGAAAAGATAACTGGCTTCTTTCATTTTCCCTTTTTTTTGGATCCTGCTGAAATAAAGAACAGTGTCAAAATCAAGAGGCACTCACCCCATGGTTTTTATGACCTGTTTTTCTCTGTAAACTTTTGTTAAGGAAATGTTTATAAGGATGTGGTATATTTTATTATCAGTATTTGTTAATGCAACTCTTCAAGATACGATTTCTGAAAATGCTTGCATTGTTGATTTCTAGAAGAAACTCACAGCAAACAAGAAGAATACATCTATTTTAAGGAAAGTATGGGGATATACTGACTTGTTTCTTGTGTGATCTGTGTAGCCGTTATTTCAGACAGATTTAATCATGAAAGATAGACATTCAAAGTTAAACCATGTGCAAATTGACTACATTCTTAAGGCACTGTGCACTACCAACTTCTTGATGAACAGAGTCTGTGCTTTACACCTGCTGAATTGCAGTAAGCACTTCTGCTCAACTTAGCACTTTCCAGTTTTATTTCACTTTTACTTGGAATAACAAGCAACTGTTTATGAAAATGAAGCTAGATTATAGTTGGTAGTACTCTGAATATCAAGAACTATTATCTAATCCAAAATTTTCAAGCAACAGTTGTCCTATGAAGAAGTGGAAGTAAAAAAGCTCAATTCAATGCACATAAATGCTTCACATTCACACAGAGTAGGTAGGAAAATTTTTTGTGCTTCCGTTTACGTATTTGAAGTAATAGTGGTGCCTCTTTTGGAGAAAAAGACCAAATCAAAATCAAAACACCTCACATCAGTGCTAAAATAAGCTGGGCTTCTTATTTGATTTTGTGTAAATGTTTGTGAATTGATCAGCCACTGTAAATTGAATCTAAGTAAGTAATATTGAAAAGTATAGCTCTTCCAAAAAAATTGCAAACTTTTCCAAAAAAATTGCAAACCTCCTATAGCACAATTTATGTCTCTCATATATTTGTAATTGAAGACCAATTAATTTTTAAGGTTGTATTTACCACTGAAGTTGAATTCGTACTTCCATTTCTTTAAGTTTAATATTTTATAACGTGTCCAGTGAAATAAAGTTTATATATGGAAGATACGGGTTATTTTTCCAATTTATCTTATTTTGTACTGCATATTTAAAGTATTTCCTATAATAAAGTAGAATAGGAAATGCCCCATGAGCTTAGGCCCATGTTGCAATTCATCAAGATCTGTCATGGCTATTCTGCTAAGATCTGTCATTGCCTATTCTACATCTGTGAATAGGCAAAAGTTTGGTTTATTTCTTTCTCTAACAAAATGGTGAAAACTCTTCTAACCATAGAATAACAAGCATTGTCTTGTGCAAACTATTAAGTTCTAGTTTATTTAGAAGTTCTAAGTACTGTAAACTATATGTCTGATGTGAGATTACTTCCTACACACTTTGTCATGGTCTACTCTATGTAGAATTTTGACTTTTTTCTGCAATTGACTTTTTCTTCTTAATTTTAACTGTCTTTCAGTTTTAAAATTACTCCAGCAGTCCACTGAAATGTTCTTCCTCCTTGCATATGTTCACCCTCACTGCCCTTTTACTATAGGATGGTAGATTTGAGTATCAGTGAAACATTCACTTTGATTCACTTTATGTAAAACTGAAGCACAAGATTTTAGGACAGGATGATGTCTGGATTCAGAGGTGCTCTATAAGCTCTATGTAGATCCTGGGAAAAGAGAATGTTGGCTGTATCTTCTTGAAAAACATGTTGGCTATATCTTTGTCTGGAAAATTTAAAACTTTCCCAACCTAGGATAAATAAGAAGGGACATAAATGTTTAAAGTTGGTTTAAATGCATTTTAAGTGAGCTGAATGTGAGAAACAAAATTTTATAAAAGGCATAAAACTCTCTTATGAGTTTGTATTGCATCACCTAATATGTCAACATTTCTTACACCTTAAATTAATGCTTCATGTTTAATTTAATTCCTAGCTGTTTTTAAAAGGTTAGTTTAAAACATTGTGGTATCTCTGAGCTACTCTATAAAAATTAAGTGGTATTTTTAATACAAGGTAAGGTCTGTAACCACAACAGTCTGTGTCTTTCAAAAGAATCCTTTTGTATTTTTTTCTGAAGTTTATGTCCTTCTGATAAACCATGTCTATAACCAGAAAATAGACAGATGGTAGTTTTCCCCAATTTTTTTGGAACAGTACTGTTGATAGTATATTTGTTAAATAGTGGGCTGCAACTTTTGTCAGAAAACTTCAGATGTAATACCACAAAGTAAATGGCTTGGGGAGAGTGGGTAGGAGCTGGACTTTAACTTTGGATTCAGTTCTGTATAGTCTGAGGTTTTTTGAGGTTTTATGACCTGTGTTTTCATCTCTGGGCAAGTATTCAGAGTAAAAAATTCACTAATGGCTACCATAAATTTTAGTGTTAGGGTAAAATTTTCAACTTTCCTCAGTTTTAAAAAATTTAAAATTTAAATTTAAAATTTAAAAAATTTAAAATTTAAAAATTTTAAAAATAAAAACATTTACTTTCTTATCCCTTGGCATACATCCTGGCAGGAATAGTTTTTTCTAAGAGCTCTTTGGTAAAAGGTATTTTTCGCAGCTGACCAAGGTGTCAGTGTGTGTGCAAGATGCTGTCTTCTTTGAAATTTGTTAATGCCTTGAAATAAAACTGGTTTCGTTCAGCGCTTTTATTTATTTAATTTTTAAATTATTATTCTTGACTACTCATTTTGACATTGGGTTTTCTTGTCCGTTCTCACGTTGTGTGTCAGAAACCACTAGTGTCTTCTAAATTAACAGGCTCAAAGGTGCACAGTAGGAACAAATGTTGGCAAGAGCTTCATATTTGATGACAGTGATGCAGAACTGGCATAGGCTGTGCACTGAAATTTAAAGTTTCTCTTCTAGCTCTTGCTCTCACTTGTCCTGAAATGTGAATGTGTAGGTGAACTCTGATTACCTTTAGGTGAGTTGACAGTATAAGGTGTTACTTTTTAAAAATCTCTCACAAAGAAACCAATATAAATCAATTTTAAGACTCACACTGCAGGGTGACATGGTCATTTGGGAGAAACAGGCAGTGATGATAAAAGGATGTAAGATGTTTTGTATAAAACCTGAAGTTAGCATTTGTGAGCACATTATATTTGTGAATCCCAAACATTTATTTGGAACTAGTGCTTTACTTGAGCTTGTGTTACTGGACTTGAGTCACAGTATATTTGATGTTAAATTTAAGTCCATCACAGAATGTCACTCTTTATTTATTGTACTGTACTGCTACGGGTTGTCCTGTGGTTTGTGGGTTTTTTTGCCTTGTTCTCTGTAATCCTTGTGTTTTCAGATATAAATATTTCCATTGATTTTACTGAGTGTGATGCTTGTCTGAAGAGCATGAAAGAATGTGCGATTTTGGTCCATTTACAGGTGAGATTCACTTGTGAGAAGTACAGATGGAAATAAGTTGAAGGGTTTCTGGTAAAAGAGTACTTGCCTTTCTCTTGCTGTGCTGAAGACTGAATCAAAACTTGTGCAATGTATGTATGTTTCATCTGTAAGCATTTCTAGAAGACCTGTAAAGCTCTTGCCTTCCACATGAAATTTAAGGAAGAGTACTTCTTATTCTTTACATTTTGCTGTGTACACTGTCTATGCTCATGATGAAATGTAGAGTTTAATTTAGTTTAATATCTGCTTCAAAATACACTTTTCAAAAAATTACATTGTCACCTTGTAAATTGCGTATGTCACTGTGTAGGTCAAGACAGCAGAAAGACCTGTACATACTGTTTAGGAATGTTAGGAGAATTTTAATTTTGTGTGCAGAGATAGCTTGTAGTCAGAAGTACATGGCTGGGTGTTTATATACTTACAGCACTCTTAAGGAAGAGTTTGCTGATTGATTTATTACCAGATATTTATTTGAAGAACAATGAAAAAAAAAAAAAAGCTGGGGACATTGGAGTTATACTGTGCAAACAGTTGTTTATACTTGAGATATCTTGGAAGTTCTTTACTTAGAATCAGGGGTTTAGTGCTTTTCCTCCTCTTCTAAAATTTATTTTTTTTTAAATAAAGTCATTATGTTGACTAATACAGATGGGAAATATTTCTGTTTTGTGTGTGAAAAGCACTGCATTTTTTCTAAAATGCAGAATAATAAATCATAAACATGGCTTAACCTAAACTCTGCATGGTAGTATAGTATATCTTTGCTTTATAATTGGTTCAAGTCTGCTCAAACAGGAAGTTTTAAATGTCCTGTGATTTAACACATTGATAAATCAAGGGTTTAAATATGTTCCTTTTGCATGGTTAAATACCACAGTGCATCTTACAGTATGGTATTAATAATTAAATGTGTTTTTCAGAGGCTCATTCACTAGTTACTGTATTTGACCTTTCCAGTTCGAGCTTGAGGCACTCTGGCTGTGCTGAAGGGCAGAACTTGTGAAATGTACCTTCTCTTGGGGCACAGATAAACTCTCCTTCTGCTTCATCTGTACCATCCACCCCGAATTTGCTAGAGGTGACTGGGGAAGGTCTGCTTGGCCCCCTTGCTCCCTGCTGCTGCCTGACTGCCCTGTCTGCTGTAGAAACAACTCTATGGCAGCAGTGGCAGGCGAAGGGGGAGAGCAGCTGGAGAGATGGCCACAGGGCCACGTGTCCTGGCACTGGGTTGGTGCTAAGAGACAGGAACAGCAGCGACTCTGCGCTGTAACTTTGCTGCCTTCTATTTAAAGACTGCCCTGAGTCAGGAGAAGTGAGTGCTACTGGGGATGACAGTTGCTTCAGGCAGCCCTGGGGAGGACAGGGCTGGGGGTAAACATCACCGGCGAGGGCCTGAGCAGGGAAGGGAATGGAGGGCTCCCATGGCGCTGAGTGTGACAGGGCATCCGAGACTTCGTCATTCATAGGAGATGAAGAAGAAGAAGAAGAGGAAGAGGAGGAGGAGGAGGAGGAGGAGGAGGAGGAGGAGGAGGCCGTGGACCCAGAGGAAGCAGAGGAGCTGACTAATAGGTATGTCCCCCCAAGGGATTTATAGCCCCAGAGGGAGCTGGCAATTACCCCAAAGCATCATCCCCCAGGAGATGCCAGAATTGGAGTCCCATGCTGGTTTATTGACTTTTCCGTCTTCCCTTGCCCTATTGCTGTAGATAAAAAAGGGGGGAGTAGAGGGCTGTAATATTTTTTTCAGATGAGTATGGCTGTAATTAAATTTTGTGTGGTAAGCGCCTACCCCGAGTTCCCTGAAAGCTTTTCTATTTAAAGATCCTCTGATGTGCCAGCTCAAGTGGCATCTCCTTCCACTCCTCCCTCTCTGGCTGACTCTTTGTCACATATGGATCTTAAATGCTTTGCAGATTTGCTTGTCAGGGAGAAAATGCTCAAAGATTATAATGGTGCATTAAAATTGGTTCCTTTTTATGGCCCTTTATTTCTTCCCACTTGTCCCTCCCTCTTCAGTTGCTTCTTTCCTTGAAAAGAAAGAAGAAGAATGTTCAAAAATTTGTTGAACATGTCTCCTATTGCTGGTCATGATTTGTAAGGTTGATTTTTGTGGTGAAATGGGAAATATTCTATCCCTTTGATCTTTAATTTTTTTCTCTTAGTATTTTTGTTTTCTTAAGTTTTCCACAGAAACAGTTTATTGTCCTGTGATTGCTCTCCTACCGTTAGGAATGTAATGAGCAAGGCTGTGGCCCAGTGCCCTGCCCAGTGGTCCTGCGCAGGATGCAGAGGCATCTGCAACTTGATCCAGTCAGACAGACTCTGGCTGTGCCAGCACCATTGGTTTCATACAGAGACCACAAGGCCTGAGAGTCCCCCAGCCCATACCAAGTCTCAAGATTGCTTCCTTGTCTTGAGTAGACCCCATCAGTTTTAAGTGGATATTGTAGAAGAACCTA